TTGAACATGCGGCAGTCACTTCATCCCCTCTCATCAGTTCAATTTTGTTGAAGCTTTCTTTACGAATCGGATTGCAGTTTTTGCAGCGAAATTCACTTTGGCCTGCTCTGGCTAATAAGTGAATCATCCCGTGCTTTCGTGCTGCTAGCCCTACTTTATACCCCTGGCATATTTTTTTTTTCTGTTAATATACATTAATTAACATAATACTGCTTTCAATTATTGACTCTCAATACTTTTAGACAGCAAAAAAATACCCAAAAACCAAAAAAACAAAACAAAGACATACTATGCTGTGAAATGATACTTTTCCTAGTTACCGTCGTTGCGTCGTCTGCCGAAGTCGCATGTACTGACTGCGGTCATAAATCATGAGCATTAGCGGTGACATTGTATGTACATCGTGGAAAGTCACCAGACGAATTAAGAAAGGGCGCCATCCATAGTTGAGGTACAAAAACCTCAATTTTAATCTACAAAACGTGCTTGGGAAAAACACCTTTCTACTCATTAGAAACCAATCACATGTTGTTTGTGAAACTATTAGAAGATGATTGAAACTTGAATGGTTTCTTCTGCAATTTTGTTCTAGGTCAAAACGTAAATTGACCGGACTAGTACTATACTCCTTCAACGGCCAGAAAAGGAAAGTTGGGGGAGACCTAGACTGGTTCCCGGTCCATCCACTGCGTATTTTTAATGATCCACAGTTATTGTGGCGGGGAAAATAGTCTGGGAGACCATCTCAAGTTAAACGGACACTAGGTCCTGGAACAGCCCAATTTGGCTACAAAACGCTCAGATGATGTTAATGTGAAAGAACATTTAGAAGTAGGATATAAACATCAACACATCTATACTTTTAAAACTGGGCGTTTTTGTGTTATTCCTGTATTATTCGTGTGTGAACGAATTTAGGGATCCACTTTTGCGACCCCAAAAATTCGAGCTGTTTTGATGGCAGTTGTGATTTCATCCGTAAAGTTTCCGCCTTTTGCGGACGTGTAAGAAACCATAATTTTGTGCGTCGGTGATTGTCACCGCGCTTGGTTTGAGGCTAGCGGGATTTGTAGTGGACCTCTTGTTGACGACTGAGGCGATCCCGTAATCATTGAGCTAGCCTGCCTATCGAGTTGACTCGTTGTAGCTCTCCGTATTTTGGAATGTGGCAAACAAAACGCCGGATGCGACAAAGACATTTGAGACGAACGTTTTCATCCTTAGCCTAAGAGGCAATATTTCAGGTTTGCCATTTCAAGATGTCTGGCTTACAAAACAAAACTTTGATGAGGAGCTTAAACACACAAGTATTTTCTCATTAATCTCAAAATATCTGGCTTTCGTAAAAAATATTGCATTAAGATATATTACTTTCCAAAATTGTCATCATGTATATTTCAAAAGTCCTGGCTTTAACTAGGAGAAATGCATTACCAAAATCACGTATTCATTTTGTTTTTCTCAAAACTGCGGCTTTCAATAAACATTTTTGGTCTGGAGCATTTTACTTCAATAAAAAAACACCTAATAGTTGTTAAAGTGGACAAACAAATATACAAAACACTTCCCAATTCCTCTGACCTCTCGGGACATCTTTTTTGTTTTGATAATGTGAGCATCACACTCTTAACACAGAATGTCACTTTTCCTCTATTCAAAGGAGTTTTCCCCTTATGGACAACAACATTTGAAATAATCAGGATTTTAAGACAGTAAAATCTTTGCTGTTACTAAGAGGACTAGGAATGGCAATGGTAAAACTGATACATAAAAGTGTTGGTGCAAAACTGAGTCCGTCAAAAACAATTAGTATTAAAAAAATCTGTCCACTGGCAATGTTTATTTTTGTGTGTTCGGTACTTTTCCAGTTCAATATTACACCGTACTTCACAGTCACCCTTTACAAAAATCAGAGGCATCAAAATGAATCAATGATTGAAAGGAATGGTTCTTACTCTAAAGGTAACCCAGGGGCGTAGCACGGACATTTTTATTGGGGAGGGGGGTAATTTGTTTTGAAAAGGGCACTTGTACATCCGTCGTGAAATGTAGACAGTTTTTTTTCTTCGGACACTTGGCCTCCGTAAAATCCAAAAGTGTGGGGAGGAGGGGGGCCGGTACCATCTGTCGATGGAAGCGTTGTTCAAAACCGACAATTATGCACACAAAAGTCCAATATATGGTGCTTTTCAGGGCGATACATGTGCGAAATTCTGAAAAAGGGACCCAAAACGGCAGATGCCACAAGTTTTTTTGGGAAAAGGGCACTTTTTCAGAAAGAAATGGCACTTCTTAAAAAAAAAGGCACTTTTTACAATTTATTGGGGGGGGGGGGGGGTAAGCCCGTTGAAAAAAAGGCCGTTGTATGGAAAAAAGCAGTCTTTACAAAATATTTTTGGGGGGTCAATACCCTCTTAACCTCCCCCCCCCCCCCTCCCGCTGGCTATGCCAAGGGCGGATCCAGAACACCATTTTTTTGGGGGGCCCAAAAAAAAATTTGTCTCCCCAAAAAGTGGGTCAAAAAAATTTCGGTGTAGGGTAAGGGCCCCGAAATTTTGTTTGATTCTAGATGCTCTGTGGTGCGATCTGAGACAATTTCTGACCACTTTAACCAATGTTTTTTTGAGGAAAAGATGACGGTGTACACATTGCCTGCCTTTATTGCGATGTCACATACAAAAAAATTGGTTTCGTTTTTTTTTTTGGGGGGGGGGGGGCATGGCCCCCTTTGCTCCCCCCCGGATCCGCCCTTGGGCTACGCCTATGTAACCTTGTTTGTAATAAACCGCAAGTCCTTTTAAGTTAATACAGCAGATCAAGACAGTTCCAAGGTGACCCGAAAGATTCAAAATCAATGCTTTTCAAAAAGGATGGATGTTGTCTCAAACATATATTTCCCAGTTGTATTCCCCTCAAATGCACTGACCTAATGGATAGGTTAGAGTACAGGACAGCCAATGAAAAATTGCAACCAAATTATAAATTGTATCTGTTATTTCATTTGCTATTGCTCACTGAAATCTCCAATGAATTTTCACCAGACATTTGAAATGTTGCGATGTGAAAGCCTGGTGTTCTTGAGAATGATGTACAATGATTGTTTGGTACCAAGGTTTGGTAACAATCTTTTGCGTGAGAATGACGTGCACATCTGCAGCATATGATTTTTCTTAAACCTGCGCAGCGTTTACAAAAACTGTTTATCAGAAATCGCCAACGGTGGCCCTTTGGGCCACAGGTACTTCCCCGCACTACGCAAGACCATATTCATGTCAAAATAACAAAAAGCCACGTGCCAGACAGTGTCCAGGCAGTTGCCAGACAGTGCACTTAAAAGATAATTGACTGGCGGCTGTGGTTTGCGGCTATGAAGGGAGATGGCTGTGTCAAGTTACAGGTTGTTTGTATATGTTTCAATGAGACTTGGCAAGAGGCCTGGTCGAAAGTTTGTTGACACGGCTTGGGTGAAGCCCTGGCTGCAAAGTTCATTGAACCAGCTGATTTGGCATGGGTTGAAAGAGGATAAAGATGGAAGGTGATCGTCATTGGCCCTCAATTTTTTTTTATTCAAACATTTCGGTCACCTGATCGCAAAACGGCCCCAGGTTGTTTAACATACATTGTAAACACACCATACGACACACACAAAAAAGAAAAAACAAATCTGCAGTACTGTCTGTTCGAATATCGAATACATGCAAATTGTTGACTCTGTAAAGTTTCCATTTTAAGAGCAATATATGCCGGCAAACCATTACAATACACATCACATTGAGGATTTCTGTGTACAAACTACATGTTGTAGGAACCTAAGTAATCATGAATTAGCATTAGCTTAACAATACAAAGTTAACACGTATGGGTGTACTTAGAAATGTAAACAATTTTTATAAATATCAAATAGATGCAAATTGTTGACTCTAAAGTTTCTATTGCCAAAAGTGTGAAATAGAGATTCCTTGAAAATGTCAAGGAAAAACACTCAACACGTAAAAACTGTTTACCTTTTTAGTTCAAGCGACAAAGAGCACAAGAGGCTGTCGTAAAGGGTCTGTTTTTTTTTCTTGTTTTCAAATAAATCATCGTTTTCCAGTGTTTCATTTATCATAGTGACTTTGACATTTGTTACCGAAGCTGATTCCAAGTTTCCTTTTTCTTCAATGGCAACCCTTCTGCCACTATTTGCAAACATCAATCCAACTCGTTTTTGTTCAAATATTTAACTGTGGCCTTTCTGTCAGCTTGATTAGGGTCTTCATGGCGGTAAAACCAAACATGAAACTTCAAAGAAAGATAGCAGGATGCCACAAGACCCATGTAAGTCAGGCATCCCATACAAGTTTGTTTATTCTTAAATTAAAGTACAATGGTAGCTTAAACAATTCATAAAAACTCTTGAATCATCGGGATTGCTCAAAATGATTGCAAAATGTTTAATTCAAACGCTAACAGAAGTTAAATATTGTGATTATTATTTCTGGTTAACATAGCTATGTCAGCCAGCGGACTTCTCAAGTGTCGTCTCCATGAGGGCGACACGCCTTATTGGGGCGACAGTTTGGTGTCGCCCTATTGTTGAAACAGGACAAGGGATTTTAGCGTCGCGACCCATCTGGATCGATCCCTCGTTGTCCAGTTACCCTTAATACGGAATTTCGTAGAAAAAAAGATTAGGTAAACTCGTAGTAGGCGACAGTTTAGTTTTGCGCGCAAGTCTACGGGAGTGTTGCTTCTTAAGAATTATTATTATAATAATATTTTTTTTTAAATTAAAATAGTTATTTTGATTAAACTTTCACGGCCAAATTGCAGAATTGCAGTCTAATTTACACACATGATGAATTATTTCCTGTTTTTCATGCAAGTCACTTAGGAGTTTCTTAAACAAGTTTTTCAACAGCTCACATGTCTGTGTATAATTATGTCAATGCTTTCTGAGTAAACATATAGACTATAGAAATACATTGGTTTAGTCTCGAACCTGTTCTGCTGTGAATTCTCTACAACCTGAGGATCTTATTGACTGTCTGTGACAAGCCGGCCGCATTGATGGCCGTCAACGTCAAGTGGTAGTCAGTGAAGGGAGCCAGTGGCGAGACACGCATACCAGTCTCCATGGTCTCCACCCACTGCATGATATCACTACCTCCTGGGATGGTACCCAGAGATACCTCATAGACCAAGGAGGAGGAAGGAGAGGCAGAGAACAAACCATCCCAGGTAAGAACAACTCTTCCATCACCAAGCCAGGAGTATCTCAGCAGGCTTAGCCCTATAAAGACAGTCAATTACAAATTTGTGAGATGAAGGAAACTCTCAAAATGTGGGTTGCTGGAAAAGTATTCAGATGATTTGCACAAAGTATGGAACTCACGAAGGAAACAACAGAAACAATGACCCTTTCATTATTTGGTGATGATTTGAGTGTATGCATTTTTTTTTCAGAAATAGCTAATTAGCCCTCGCAAATTATCAATTAACCCATTTTGGGGTGTTTAGATGGTTGTATGGGATTCTTTGATACCACTCTTTTCTGCCGCCCCATTTACAGTGTAGAATACGTTTTACCCTAATTGGGGCAACCTCCATAAAAATACATTAAATACAACTGTAGACCTTTGTGTGCTCTGGTTAACATTTGAAACCATCGCATATATATCATTTGGAAAGATTGAGCTACGTATACATACCTCCCCGTTTAGGTAGGGAAGATTCTATAGTGATGTTGCCAGTGATAGCTTGGCTGATCAGACCAGCATGATTGACAGCTCTGACTGATAGGCTATAGGTCGCATCATCAACCAGGCTAAGACCTGACCAATCTAGGTGGGTCTGTGATGTGGATCCACAAGGTGACCAGAAGGTGTAGGCGTTGGGTCCACTCAGATGACACTGAGAGGAGGAAATAGGTTCAATTAGGAATAACACTACAAACAAGGTGTCCAGGAGAAGGCGTTGGATCCAATCAGATGACACCGAGAGGAGGAAAATGGTACAGTTAGGGATAGCACTACAAACGAGGGATCGAGGAGGTGTAGGCGTTGGTTCCACTCAGATGGCACTGAGAGGGGGAAAAGGGTTCAATTCGGGATAACACTACAAGCAAGTTGTCCAGAAGGCGAAGGCGTTGGGTCCACTCAGATGGCATTGAGAGGAGGAAAAGGGTGCAATTAGGGGTAACACTACAAACAAGGTGTCCAGGAGGTAAAGGCGTTGGATCCACCTAGATGGCACTGAGAGGGGGAAAGGGTTCAATTAGGGATAACATTACAAATTGCAGCTAATCAACCATCGGGGCCGGTATCATCCTGCTTTGCACAAATGTCTGCAGTACACCAGATCACCAGAATCTTTGGCACAATTACATTTCAATTACAAATTGAAATTGTCAGAATTTGATTTCAGACAACTCTTTGACCCTAATTACAATTGTTTGTATATCTACATATAACTGGTTAGAAGAATTAAACAAGTAACTCGCGCCAATGCAAAATGCACCGTCAAGATGAATTCACCGTGAGAAGCATATCTGCGAATATAAAATGAGACAGTTGTTCAAGTAGCATCAGCCTTTTGTGTTTCACTTTGACTTGATGTGCTTTATACATGTATACTCAGGCAGCATCAGGTAAGGTGTGTAAGACCTATAAACAATGGTAGACATCACTGACTGAAATGTGCTGTGAACAAATTAATTCTATTAATTATATTTGACATATTGGACACAATGCACAGTACACTACCTCATAGGACCGAATTCCAAATGGGTCCATGAATCCATCCCAGGATGCTTTGACAGAGTCTCTCTGTGACTGGTACCTATCGCGTGTGTCATATTGAGTCTCTGACACGGTCTTCAGATTGATGAGTGCTGCTGATGAGCTAGGGGGCACTGTAACTATGGTAACGCCATCTGATGATTTCCATGAGGACTTCTCAGCATAGTTGTAGCATGTGATGGTTACATACAGGCGCTGGCCCTCAACCATGGCCTGAGACAGACTGGTGGTGATGCTGGAAGTGGCATCAGGAGATGGTGAGCTTGGTAGGATGTCATCAAGGCCAGGCGCTGATCCTGGTAAGAAAGGAAACACATTTTAGTATTCACGGCCTCTGTCAGGGTTTCTCTTAACAAAATGGCCAGTATTCTACTCATAGTTAGTTTTCAAACAACTCATGTTAAGGTGCTAATACAAGCCCAATAATAGTCAGAAATCAGGACTTACCAACTGCCCACTCACAATATTCAATTCCACTCTCAGGGTCAGACGCTGACCAACTGAATGTCAGAGAAGAATCATCAGCTTTGAAGTCAATATCTGTCGAGGAGAAAGGAACTGTCAATGAAAGTTTCCTGCTTAAATACTATGGAGAAGTGCTTGAATAGTAGATTCAGCTTTTGATCACTCGTAACACATCCTTCTGAAAGAAACGCTGCATGCAAGCACCGATTCACATGCCTATGCCATGCCTGTATCATGGAGAATGCACAACAAAGTTGAGGTAATTTATATGTAACGCAGTGTATATGAGGCGATTTATATGTTATGCATTGTATATAAAGTAACATTTACTTCTATGGACTGGACACGTGTGCCTGTGGACACACTGCATGGAATATAAATTACCTCGTGCACACACTGACTTGCACGCGCCTGTAGGATGTGTGAAATACTTTATACATTTCTTGAATATAGACATTCATTACACACACCCAAATTAGGTGAGGGTAGTTAGCTAAAAACCTTTGTCGTCTTGACATATTGGTGTGATATAACAAGAAATTATTGACTGTTGTGATGTGGGATATATGTTTTGCACCCTGTACGATACATAACACCTTCAGATTTGCCTCAACCATTGTTAAATATTAGTTTGGAAATCAACATCTTGGAATTAAACAGCATACCATTCTCATCCCCACCATCTTTGACAAAGTGAATCTTGGGTGGCGTTAGGTCAATCAGTATGGGGTCAGAGGTTGCTATGGTGATGAGATCAGCTGCATTTCTTGCTATCACTGTGATGTAGACATGGGAATCATGTGTCAGCATGACGTCAGTGTTGATTGCATCTGTCTGTGTACCCACTGATGAGAAGCTTTGTAGCTGGGTGCCGCCTTTTGTTGTACCTGATGAATGATTGGAAAAAGATGTGATTAAGTATTGCTCAAAAACATCAAACCATGTCCTTGGTCCTCAATAGAATGCCTTTGATTGTGGATTCACGAGATAACAAAGAAACCCTTGTTTCCTAAGTATCAGAAATGTCAACCACAGCCAGTAACTTACATGTAAAACCAAGTCCAAGACTCAACCTACCTATGGCCCAGGTGTAGTCGACTATGGGACTCTCAGGGTCAATGAAATGCCACTTGGCCTGGATGGATGACCAGCTGTATATAAACTGGGTATGTACCTCTACAGACCCTTCACCGGTGCTCAGTCCAGTGGTAATCTGCTTTACCTGTGGAAAACAAGAAATCAGAATAGGTTGATTGTACTCAACAGTAGTAAAATGTGCGATAGTAGGCACTTAGTTTATCTCGATCTATGCAATAACTAAATTGGTAGTTTATTATACGACAGCAACATTTATGTCAAGTAGTTTGCTAGTGATCTTTACATCTAAGGTGTGAGTGATGAATTTGGAAATACATGTATGACTTTATGAAGAATATTTTTTTTACATAGGCTTAAAACAAGGGATTTGTTTACAACCAACACAATTAACTCTAACACAGGAGATTATTTTCACCTGAACATTATCCAATAGGATCCCATTTGATTGTCCTACAGAGGAGATTTTCAGTGTTGATACGTCTCCACTGGCTGTAAAGTAACATTTGTGCTGATGCCAGCGTATGGACTTCAGACTCTGGTCAGAGTGACTGTGTGCCGGCCGGTCATACAACCTGAAGATGCGATCCAATCCTGGAGCCTCGATGCGACCCTCCTGATTCAACAAAGGATTGTGGGATGGCACCGGGTGACTCGCAAAGACCACAACTTGGTAGTGGCTTCCCTGTGTTGTGTTGAAGGTTTGGGAGATGGAGCCATGAAGAGACAAGAAGGAATGACCATCTTGGGCAATCTTCTTCCCCGAAGTGACCACGGCAAATTGGCTATCAGATCCAACATCCCACTGAAGTAGTACCTCACCTTGTTTACTGTTGGTAAAATGCATCCTGGTTGTGGATGACTTTTCTTCTGTTGGCATATTTGTGGCAGAAGTGGGATAAGTATCAGAGACTCTGCCGAGATTTGGATCAGACGTACCTGTGGCTTCATTTATGTATTCTGAAAAGATCAACAGTAAGGTTTCAAAATTTACTGATTAAAAAAACCCCTACTATATGGACCTTATATTTGAAATAGCAAAACTTCTTTTCTCTCATTTTTTTTTTTAAACTGTCTATCGAACAATTTATGAAGATATGAACTAATTAAACTGACATTTGGATTCACCTGTTATGTCTGGTTCCTGCAATTTTTCAAATGATGGATTCTGGATCAAGTTATCCTCTAGAATTATCTGTTCTAGTGGCTCAGGGGGTGTAGTGTCCACCACAAACCCATCTGAAGAGACAGATACAGACTGCAAGCCAGCTGCGTCGATGGCAGAAATCTTGGAGTAATATCGGATGCCTGGCAAAGTAGGAATTAAATTACTAATGGTTACTAGGAATCAAATACTTTGGTCCAAATCTGTTGACTTTGGGATTCAAATGGTTTCCCACATTTCCCCTAAATAGTCGGAAACAATTATGTTACATGATGTAGGCCTTTTTATGTACAATTTGCATAAAACCATTTTTCCTAACTGCTTGAGGATTTTGAAGGCATTCAGGGAAATAAGTCTGAGCATCCTGTAAAATCCTCCACTACGCCGGCCAATTCTTTTAACTTGAACTTTCAAGGAGCATCATGCCCAATATTATGAGAGCAGCTGAGTTGTACCTTGTAGGTTATGAAGGACATCTTTCGGATTAAATCTGCTTAGGGGAAAAGCACCTTTTTTTCACCGAAAGCAATGAGTTTACCCGATATTAGCAATTAAAATTTTAACACAGATTTGTTGATATTCAGAGTCAAGGAGTTAAATCGTTCCGCCAGAAAAGGTCAAAACAAAGTTTAAGAAAGGATTCTTTCAACCGTCAATCAGGATATCTGACAATATTTAAGATGTTTGAGAGTTTTATAACTTTACCATCTGTTAGAGGCACAGCTAGAGTCTTGGAAGTAGACAGGTGTATTCCAACATTGGTGCAGGGCAGAATGCCATCATCACCAGGGCTAGGGGTTTGTCCAACGCACCACTCATAATGGTCTATGTAGGATTCCAGATCCACAAAGCCATGGCAAGAGGTTGAGATAGTTGTGCTGGAGTTCTGGTATTCAACGTCATGAAGATCTGCAACAACGAAGTAAGGTTAATAAAATCTTTGTTCAGAGGTTTGTTCTGCTTTTATCTATGAAATAATAATTCTTGGAAATCAGCATAACATTCGGATTCAAATTTGTACATTAACATTGTGAGTGCTAGATAATTTATAGTAGCGATAATGCACACTGTTATTTTGACATTTGTGGAGCATCAGGTTAGGGGCAATCATATGTGTGTTAATTTTGACCAAAAGTCATGATGTTTGTGTCCAAGAGCAAGACGCTTTACTGCAATAATACATACTGATGCATGATGATATATTATCCTGAGTGAAGGGACTTTACTATTGTGTCAGTGTGATAACAGAAGCCTTGATTGCATCAAGCAATGACAATGGATTGTGCACAGAGTTTGTGCACACCATCAACCATAAAACATATGAAGATTATCTGTACATTGTGAGGGAGAAAGTGAATATTCACCTGTTCCATCAAACACAAGGCCTGCATCTGGCCTCCTTATGTCCACCACAAAGCCGTCGCTGCTTTTGAGCGTGTGCAGACCAGCTTTGTTGAACGCTCGTACGTTGCTGTAGTATCGCAGTCCACTCTTAAGATTCAGATTGGTGAACTGTGTGGAGGACACACTGGCCGGGAAGGTGTGGTCAGCAAATTGACGAGCATCTTCACCTGAGAAACAAAACACATTAAGAATATGTTGAATGATATTTTACATCTTTTACATTCTGTTATGCAAAACATGACAAGAACGTATCATTCAGTCATTTATACCAGCTGGTAAATGTTTAAAAATAATGAGTAAGGGTGACTCATATTAAAAAAGTGAGTTTTTGAGTTGATATGGTGAGATTTGAGTGTACTCACCTCCTGGGTAGGTACTCAGAGACACCTGGAAGTGGGACATTGCTTCGTCCAAAAACACTCTCTCCCAGGAGATAAAGAGGACGTTAGGATCCGTCAAGTAATCAGTGTCTTTCCTGGCATCAGATCTGGCAAGATCTTTAATCTGGTAACAAAAACCTATTTCATTAATTTACATACCGATATTGGAGAAATGATAAGTTAAAGAGGTTTGATAAAACTGCACTTATTGCGTGTGTATTCTCAATTATTAAAAAAGCACTGTCAAAGAACCAAAACAGAATATATTTGCAGGTATTGTCAGATTCTAATTCTCTTTGTAAAATCGACCCTCTATAATTCTCATACCTTTGCACCTCTGACTGTTGATATTTTTGGAGTTGTGATGTCCAGGGTGATGCCATCTGATCTGAACACTGCGTATGTAGTAGGATTATACCAGGCCCTGATAAACACATGGTACTTGACTCCCTTCAGCATCTTGTGATCTATAGAAATGGATAAAAAACACTATGTGTAAGACCGGTTGGAGTCAGGATGGATGATAATTACCTGAATCGAATTTCCCATTCATAAATATCTCTTCGGTAAAAATAGCAAATCAAAAATGTTCGGTCACCAAGTCAAAAAAGGTCAAAAATTATAAATTTATAACAATTTTGTTGAACAATTTTACTTCATGTTTGTCGAAACACCCCTCTAGCTTTATTATGAAATTTCCCTGTCGTAAAAAAAGGAGTAAAGAACTCCTTATATGGAGATTGGCGCACGTGTTGAGCGCACTGTGCGTTGGTCGCAGAAGGCAGTTGTGCCGGTGTAGTGTGAATAAGTACTATTAATACTGACTCCCTGGTATATAGTATTGCGCATGCCTACGTGAGAATTTGGAACGTTCAACCAATAAAACGATAAGTGACACCGGATTTTACAGGAGTCCAAATTTCATATGACACTGAAAAAGTGTTTAAGACCAGCCAGCCGGTCTTTACCATCCATTTAAGACCGGTCGCGTGACGGGCTCTCGACCAATAGGAATGGTTGAACCGTCATAAGTATTTGTGAATAGATATGAACATAAGTTCCGTTGCTTCTTTTATACTACAAATAAGGTAAAAAGGAAGTTCAATATGACATTCTGTTTATCTAGAAACTTAAGCAAGTATTTCATGTTATACCCAAAACCAACCCTTCCCATGCATTATGTGGATTTATTGTTTTATCATGGAACCAATGCAATGTAAAACAATGTAGTACCTTACATGTGATACCTTACCAAACTACCATCACACTAGTTATGCTCAACGTTTCTTTTATTTTTTTCTTCATTATTTATATATTCCTTAATCTAAAGGTAATATACAACATTTGCTTTTGCTGTAATTTTCAGAAATTGATGGATTTGGGGGTTAGTAAGCATATACATGTCTAGTCACTGACCTGTTTAAAGTGTTGGGTTCATAGATGCTGAAAAACAACCTGTAGTCAGGTTCCCTGACCCTACGGAGCAATTTATAGATGTCAAGGAATTGTCAGGCCAGGGAACCATCGGGCTAGCTGGCTTGCATTCGTTCATGGATGTGTAACCGATTGCAAACAAAATGTGGACTAACTAAACTTGGTAAATTGGGGCAGTATTTCAAAATTGATACAAACTTTTCTTGAAAATGACAACACACCAGGTGCCAAGATGTGACAGGATGCTGGAGACCATTTTTTTCATTTACAGTCAAATAAGGTACTTCATAGTAATTTGGTAGTTTCGTTTTTTGGGCTTTTTCGTAAATTCGCGAAAAAGCCTTTCTTTTTGTTCTTCTTCTTCTTCTTCTTCTTTTTTTGTTCCATGCAAAATCCCAAAGACTTTGTACACGATTTTTTCTACCATTAATCTTTGTCATACTTCATTCATATTAAGTATATGCATGCATTGTCTTTTTAGCAAAGTTGTGTCATGATTGCATGATCATGGGTCACGTGACGTCATCACAAACGTGCATATTTTGAACTCCTATATCTGAAGAAGTATCCAATTTGGTTGAAACTCGGTATGTAGGTAGAGGTGTTATAGGTAACGATTGAGGTGACGTCATTATGATTTTATATGAATTTTTGAATTGTTGGACCTTTAAGCTATATCTCACAAACGCAATATGCTAAATTCAACATTTCTGTTTGTATTTGGTATGTAATAGGTATATGCACCAAATTTTGAAAAAAGAGGCACGTCATCATAACGTCATCAAAAATGCAATTTTTGAAAACATATATCAGGAAGAGTCCGATTGTCATGAAACTTGGTCCGAATTTTGTCACCATGAGATCATCGGTTGATGTTCTATGTTTTTCTTAATATTTACAATATCATTCCACTTTCAGGAGGTGAATTTACCTTTAAAAATTCTGCGCCCTTTTCATACTAAGGCTTTCTATGTTTATCTTTGACTAAGTCCAGTGTAGAATTATCTGGTTAATCCCTTAAGGCAATCATTTACACCACAGGAGGCCAGTCCAAATACTTCCTGCTGGATCAACCTTTTCGAAACCCCGTACATGTTACATAAAATAGGCACAGTCCGACAAATTTATGATTTTCGTTGTTTGTGCATCCATTTCAATGATCTAAGAAAGAAAACATGGTTTCATGGCCCGACAAAAAAAAAAATCTTACGTTTGATATTTAATTTGTGAAAAATGTGGGTGCAATTAGACCACTAAGGAATGATTCAGGCATACCAAACAAGTCGTTAAGTCAAAAGATACTAATTGTTCCCTGCTGGCGGCAGGCATTAATCTGGTGCTGAACTGCACGCCCTTATATGACATATAATCTTGAGATAAGAAAGATAAAAAAGCCAGGGTCAGTCTTGATGAAAAACCAAACTTACGGCCATATATTCCGGTTTTCTTTGAAAAGAGGCTTCACAGCATGCCAAATTTAAACGCTTCCTTTCAATCTTGGTACAAACCAAGACTACAATGCAAAAACGTGTATTGACAAGTTTTATCAAGATGACATCATAGTTTGGCATCATTCAGGAAAACCATACCAACTTAACAGGATAAAACCTATTTCTTTCTTTAAGTAACAAACAAAACATACTAAATTTTTTTTTTAACAAAAGGTTAGGCAAATAAATGTTACAATTGTGAGAAAAGAGTCATAAGGTTATCAATACATAATATTTCTGAAATGTATTTATATATTGAAAAAACTCTATGCTCTGTTGCAAACAGACCTATTATCTCTAGTTGATGTTTGCAAATGTTGTAAATTACCTTTAAATTGGACAGATTTCATTACCTTCATCCAGCGTGATAATGGTTTGGTTGTCCTGTCCAACATCATACCATAACCTATCCTGAACTGGATCAAAGATTCCCACAGGATCTGATGAAGAGTCATCACCAATGCTCCATTCAAACCTGCAAATATTATATATGAAAGGTGATTGGTAGCACTTATGATCAGTGTGTGTCTCAAAGTGTAAAGGTTGTTGCTATTGAAGGTATGAGAGAAATCAAGTTATGAATCGAGTCTTCTAGTATAAACGGTAGCTTATAACTGTTAAATTGACTTGATATCCAACTCATTCCGCCCATCACATCTTACAGACCTGAGTAAATGCGTCATAAACGTAATTCATAGTATACAACTAGATTTACTAATGTTTGTGTACAAACGTCTGTTTCGGTAATTTACTGTATTTAATTTATGTCATGTAAGACTGATATCACATGTACAATAGAGTGATCAGGACCGACACAGTTCTGCAGATATTGGCCGTCACATGTCACGTGATGACGTCACTTCAATTTTTATCTATAACACATCCCTGTCTATCACATCCCAATCAGACCTGTAGTTCTGTAGATATTGTCCTTCAAAATATGCACTTTTAATGTGACGTCACATGTCACGTTGTGATGTCAATGTGACGTTACTTAAATGTTCATCTATAACCCATCCCGGTGTAGGTATATACCATGTTTTAACCCAATCAGACCTGCAGTGTTTTTTAGATTTTGTCCTTCAAAAATTGCACTTTTAATATGGCGCCAAATGTCACGTGATGCCGTCCTCGTAACGTCACTTCAATTCGGTCTAGGTACACACCGACTTTGAACCCAATTGGACCTGTAGTCCTTGAGATAAAGGCCATCACAATATGCACATTAGGTGTGACGTCATGATAAAGGCGATTGGATTGATATAATGCCAACAGTGCCTTGGGGAAAAAAAACGTGTACAAATTCTGTGGGCAAAATGACTGAAAACGGATATCTTAACGATAACAAAGGCTGTTTCGGCTGGTTGCCGAAACAGCCAAATATTGAATGCTTCGATTGGTGTAGAAAAACTAGCCTCCCGAGGTGATCCCTGGACATTCTATTTTCCAGAGGGGAAGCCGAGGAAAAATAGAAAAATAGAATGCTCCATGGATCACCGAGGGAGGCTAGTTTTACTTCACCACGAGATAAAGCATTCAATATTTGTTTCATAACACTTCACCCACAAATTTGCTTGGTTTTAATATTTTATTTTTTTCTTCTAAACACAGTTAAAAAATAAACTTCATTTGCAATCTAAAATCGGTGGGAAATGTATTTTTCTCTACCAAACCACCCCTTTAAGAAATGTTTGAACCTTACCCTGTGGCGCGCTCTCTTTGGAGCAATACGCGCTACAAGCAACGCTTAACGAGCACACCATCATGCATTTACACACAAATCCGGTTCGTTATACATACACGCGCGCGCACCACTTTACTTATTACTAGCGCCCAATGGATAGAAACTAAAGTTGCGTTAGCTTCCGGATCCAATGGTTCCAATGCTACTTAATGGGCAGTGGGCGTGGTTAAAACTGAACTGACGTCACACTAAGAACCGGATGCCGCGCCATTGGTGTAGCACGTTTGTTGCTACTGGTATGGTAATTTTGGCCGTGCACAGAACGATAGCAAAAATAGAAAGTACAATGTGACTAACTCTCAGCCAATCAAGACACAGAATCTGTAGGCGGGATGTTGTAAAACTACATATGAAAAACCGCTTAAAGGAACAGTTGCCAAATAGTTGACAGACATCAATTCTGTAATCAAAAAGTATTATATATTGTCTCACCACTTAATGTCCAGTCCTTTCTGATCAGTGACTCGCCATACTGCAGCAGCCACATACTGAGTGGATGTATCATTAATATCGATCACGCTATTGATATCATCATACATCAGATCCAATACATCCAGAACTTCAATCTCCGTGTTGGGGTTACCTTTGGGTCATCGTAAAAGAATGGTTCAAGACTATCAAAATAACATCAGTTTAATAGCACTGGTCTGAATCCCGCTTAAATGGTAGTCAAGCTACATTTAATCATGTTTTTTTTTTATCATAACTGACGATTATTGATGTTCTGTTTTAAGATGCTTTCTCACACCTCTAAAACTCATTCCTTCACCATCTCCTCACAATTCTCAGAAAACATCATGCTGTCTTCTAATTGTCACGCTTTGTCAGTTTACGTGTTATTTATCAACTTTGGTTCATGGAAGTACCAAAAACAGTGTCTCTGTTTATTATAAAAGCTTGACTGTACGACAGACTGAGGGTAACTTGGGAACCTTGAGGAATTAACCAATAGTCCTTGTACCGCCCAAAAGTGCTCGGCTAATTGCCTCTTATACAACCTAAACCGCCTATCACTCTATAATTTCATGAATTCGCCAATGAGTAAATACAGTGTAGTACAATGTAATAAAACAGTGCTAACGGGTTAAACAAATTAGATTTTTACAACCCATATGATGATTTGTGCTGAAAATTGCTACCCTCGATAACAATTTCAGCACAAATCGTTGATTCATTTCCAAGGTACTGGTCTCCTAAAACCAATAAATTAACGTTAACGACTGGCGAGTGCAAAAAGTGAGCGTGGCACCCTATATTGGGGGGGGGGGCATATCACAGAAACCCTTTAAAGTTGTAGCCTAAAATGTTGCATGTGTTCATTACACATAGAAAAGTACTTCACGATTTCATTAAAGCCAAATCTGAGTCGGACGACATGGGATCTCTGCTTGAATTCAACTAAACTTACTGTGAGTGGCATCAGTGCAAGACTGGTCTGGATTACATGCTTTATCAATGGGTGCACACGCACAATGGCCCTTGCATGTTGTAGGCAAGCAGCGTCGCAGCAGGACAAGGGAGCCCTCGTATGGTTGATTAGGAGAGGCTTCGAAAGTGGAATGATGGCGGCCGCTTGGTATCCCAACCTGGGAAGATATTAAGAACAATATAAATGATTACCAGATTCTGATTTCCAATTAATCACTCGACAGTTTAAAAACAATCAAGAAAAAGGATGTAGTATCATGCTGCCACTTTGTTGGTTGCGTACAAAGTCTTTGGAAATTTCAGTGCATTTTCAAAGTATTTTCTAAGAAAATTTCTCAGTCCCAGATTCATGTCTTTGCACCTTTTTTTGCAATGACTGACCTTCGTTCAGATAATATGCAATTGAAAAACAGTGGCGTGAGAGGTTGTTTTGTTTTTATACTGTTATTGATTACGTTACTACCAAACCTCTTTCTAGAAGTTCGCAAACCTCGGCTTTTAACATATCACCATTTGGTTTTGTTTATGTTGAATGGAAGTAGTGTGAATCAAACTGTGATTTGTTTAACTTTTTTTTCAAATATTGCTAGATATTTAAATACTCCACACGTTTCTCCTCAGTTCATACATGGATTTCTTTCATAGACACCTTAAAGGAATGCATCCTTTCATAATATTGGATATTTTTAGAAAATGACTGATCGCAAATTTGAACTGAATCTATACAATTTGACGGTGGTTCCAGATGAGAAGTTTCAAATAAATGCTACAGGTACAAATCAAACCTTTCACACAAATGCAGCCAACTGTGTTTTTACCTAAAAGTGTCTGGATTCATAACGAGAATTTCAACTCATTACCCCATTAACAGCCCAGATGGAGATGTAGAGATACGGATGAGATGGGTCTGTTATACTGCCCTCTAGTGGGAAGATGGCTGTCTGTGCAATGCCTTCGTCCAATGACATGCCGTCATTACTGTGATTCATACGGACGGGTCCATTCTGGTGAAAAAAAAATCTTAATTAATTTTACTTGTGACACACAAGAGTGTAAACTGAATAAAATATCACATTCTTGAAAACCAGTGAAGAGCAATCAGATCCTGCCAATTAATACAGCAGAAAACTCGACAAAAGAACTTAAGCAAGGATGTAACCAACAAAACACAACAATAAAAGATCAAACACAATTGAAAAACTGGTCAACAACTGATTAACAATTACTTTATATATATTTTTTTAATTTAAATTGGTGGGAATGTTGAAATATTACGCAATTATCTAAAAAAAAAAATTCGTTGGTCAAAAACAGCCATATTAATGCTGGACTTGAAAAGCCAAAAAAAAAGCACACATGTACCGGAGTGAGTTCAGAGCCGCTGTAGGTGCGTCCGACAGAGACCAAGTAGTGGCTGATACCAGAGTGTACATCAGCAAATCCCAGCCAGGCAAGGGCTAAGGAACCAGTGGATGTACGGGGGTCTTCAAGCCACGTCATCCAGCCAGAGTGGTAGCGTGGAGGAGATGGGGTGGTCGCTGGACTCTCCGTGGTAGAGTTGATTGAGTCGGTAGAGTTACAAACATTTGTCGTGTTTGTTCCATCAGGCTGTTTTGGGGGCAAGTATAAGAATCATATCACAATAATTAAAAAAAAAAAGTTCATTTATTTGAAATACTGAGCATAATTTAACCCTAAAAGGGCCGGAGGGGGGGGGGGGGGCGGCCACTCAACTTTTTCCGCCTTAGCCTTGAATTTTTTTTCGGGACCCCAGCTGTTATGACTTAGCCATAATTTAGCCATTATTCCAAAACCCTTTGCCCTATAGTCATGAAATTTATTAGATATGTTTATGATGAATAACTCTATGCTTGTACCGAGTTTCAATTTTTTTCGTCACTCGATGGCTGAGATCCGGGGGGGGGGGGCGGACCCCCCTCCCGATTGAGAGATGGTAAAAATATCCGGCTCTTTTAGGGTTAAGGGAAACTGTGTTCTTTCATGATGCTTGCAGTCCATGTATACTAAGACATCCAATTATTGGTAAGGGAAACTTCCTTTAGATGAGATGCTGCAGAAATACAACTTGGAGATTTAAACATACACACACCAAATCATCATTTAAACATATCAGACGTACTTTCTAAATTGCGATTTTTTTTTCAAGAAGAATGAAAAAAGCAATAACAATTAAGCATTTGTCTATTTTTCTTCTTTGCAAGCTGAATGTTAAAACAAATCTCCAAATCTCTCCAAGTGTGAACAGTAATATCAAAAACTCACAGAGTTAGTACAGTTGATTGAGTTGGTGGTGTTACTGACTTCAGTTGTATTTGCTCCATCAGGCTGTTTTGGAGGTAAGTAAATGAATCACACCAGAATAATTTCTAAAATGTTCACATTCACAAGAAACGTTAAGGTGCTCTTTTTGTGATGATGGAAGTCAATGTATTCTAAGACATCTTATTACGTTTTAAGCGCCTCTAAAAAAACCCTGATAGTTTAATATTACATGGTACATGTATGTCTTTTTAGTGCCAATGTGAACAACTGTGATTAACCTTGTCTCATTTTTAAAATGTTTCTATTGCTTTTTTTTATATTTTTATACTGTCGTATGTTTATTGTAATTACTGGGCACCTTTGAAAACCAGTGTTCCACTGAAAGGTTTCCCCATGATAAACAAGATATAAATACATAAATAATACATATTTAATAAGAGGACCTTCTTTTTATGAGAAACTGCATTTGCTACTGGGAGATTTCAACATGCAAACAGCGAACAAAACTGGTGCTGTAATCACCTTCAGCCTGTCAAATGGTTTTTCCTTAAACAAACTTCCTAAACACAATTATACATTTCTATCTTCTTATTTAAATATATCAGAATAAAGAACTTTCTAACGTACGATTTGTTTTTCTTCTTTGAAAGCTTAATGCTAAAACAAATCTCCAGAACTCTCCAGGTCGGAACGGGTATATTAAAAACTCACAGAGTTAGTAGACTTGATTGAGTCGGTGGTGTTACCAACATCAGTTGTATTCGTTCCATCAGGCTGTTTTGGAGGTAAGGATATGAATCACACCACAATAACAAAAAAAATGTTCACATTTACAGGACAAGTTAAGGTGCTCTTTTTGTGATGTTGGCAGTCAATGCATTCCAAAGACATCCTATTATTGATAAGAATTTTGTTTTTCATGAGAAAGTGCATTTGCTACTTGGAGGATTCAACATGAAAACAGCATAAGAAAACTGGTACATTAATCTTGTCAAATGCTTTTCCTTCCTCAAACAAACTTCTTAAACATATTTTCAATAATAAATTCATATCTTCTTATTTAAATATAACAGAATAAAGAACTTTCTAACGTACGATTTGTTTTTCTTCTTTGAAAGCTTAATGCTAAAACAAATCTCCAGAACTCTCCAGGTCGGAACGGGTATATTAAAAACTCACAGAGTTAGTAGACTTGATTGAGTCGGTGGTGTTACCAACATCAGTTGTATTCGTTCCATCAGGCTGTTTTGGAGGTAAGGATATGAATCACACCACAATAACTAAAAAAAATGTTCACATTTACAGGACAAGTTAAGGTGCTCTTTTTGTGATGTTGGCAGTCAATGCATTCCAAAGACATCCTATTATTGATAAGAATTTTGTTTTTCATGAGAAAGTGCATTTGCTACTTGGAGGATTCAACATGAAAACAGCATAAGAAAACTGGTACATTAATCTTGTCAAATGCTTTTCCTTCCTCAAACAAACTTCCTAAACATATTTTCAATAATAAATTCATATCTTCTTATTTAAATATAACAGAATTATGTACTTTCTAAAGTAATTTTTTTTTAGAAGAATTGAAAAAGAAATAGCAATAACGATTCAGCATTTTGCATTTTTTTCTTTGAAAGCGAAATGCTAAACAAATCTCCAAACTCTCCAAGTCTGAACAGTAATATCACAAACTCACAGAGTAAGTCCAGTTGATTGATGGTGGTGTTTCCAACATGAGTTGTTAATTGTTCCATCAGTATGTTTTGGAGGTAAGTATATGAATTACACCACAATAACTCAAAAATAAGTAAATTAACAAAAATAGCCTAATTTAAAGAAAACTGTAATGATTTAGTAATGATTGCAGTCCACGTATACTAGGACATCTATAAAGAGGAACTTCTTTTTCAATATGCAAACTGCAAACCGAAACCGGTACTATAAACGCCTCATGCCCGTCAAATGCTTTTCCTTAGACAAACTTTCTAAACATTTCTTAATTATAAATTCCCGTTTTCTCATGTAACATAACATGCAGACGTACTAATTAAAGTGTGATATTTTTTTTCAAGAGATTAAAAAAACAACACTAAGATTCAGGATTTTTGTAAAAAATCTCTAAAAGAGATTTTTAAAAATCTTTTTAAAACTCTCGAAGACTTCAATTTTTTTAAAACGCTCCAAGACTGAACAGTAATATCAAAAACTCACAGTTGTACTTTGTTCAGTTGGAGTACTTTCAGCTGGTTCAGTTGGATCAATCCAGATGATATGATGACGATCCAAATTAGCAGCACTCTCTGTGCCCACGGCAAACGTCCCAACAGAAGGTGGGCTACCATCAACCTGAGGAAGAGAAATGATACGGTACTATCAAAGAGAACTATAGGGGTTCTGGATTGGGATACATTAGGACAGCAATTACAAGTATGATGACAGAAGAGACAGACAATATGACATGTGGGTATGACAACTCAAGAAACTAAATCAATCACTCTGATTTCTGGAAAGATCTACAGAAGATAATGTAGAAGTAATGACAACTGCCATGAGAGGTCAGGTTGATAAAGGTACATTTGTGGTTATGATCTGGGATTGCGAAGTGGACATCACCTACCAAAAAGGGTTCCGTCTTGGCCTGTGTGCAGAGACCAGCAAAGTTACAAGCCACTACGGTAATGATGTAATGACTGCCTTCATGTAATGTCAGATTGGTGAACGTGTAGTCCAACTCACTCCCTGCAATCTTCAAATGATACCAGAATCGGATCAATTACTTGACTGAAGTTACCCTTCAACATACACTACAACTCAATTCCGACAATATAATGCACTGTGACAAATGGTTACCTTCGGCTGTCAAAAAGGTGGAACAGTATATGTCAAGTTGTCGCCCAGACTCTTTGCATATGTTGATTTATTTGGTAAACTATTTTCATTCTCACTATTCCCATCTCAACCCATGAATATTTGTATACAGATAAGAAATTTACCTTTGTGGAAGGTATATTCACATCTCCATTGTGATGTGTGCTGACTGATACATACTGGTCTTTTATACCGCTTTCAGGGTCATTGAACTTCCAGGAAAAGTGAATCAGATCCTGCATAACCTAAACAAAGAATTGTACACGTTGCCTTTCAAACAAAGAAAGAAATGTCACCATGTATAAAAGCAGGACAGTTTTTTTTAACATAAACAAATAAATGAGACTTTTTCAGTTCGTCCTCTCATGTCTGAAGAATGCTTCTGAAAATAGAGGGCATGCAAATACTTAGTCCCATAGTGATCTAGAAGTAACTGTCAAAAAAAATATCCAATAATCACAAACGGAAACTGGACCGTTTGTAAGTGGTTTATTGAAAAGTTGTCATAGAAATCTGCAACCTCTCTGATTGATACCCGTTTGCCTTTTCCTGGTTTTACAGCAGTGCTTACGTTGCTAGCATCGTGACTTAATTTGGGCGTAATCCCCGGCTAAATTGCACATAACGGCTTATGGCTTCTGAATAGTGCCCCTTGAACAAAGACATTGCCAAAATGGGGAATCGCCACTATGGGCTTTATTTTTGAGTCGGCCACACTTAATTAAAACCGAGGTAAACATTTCAATTTTGGAACTTGTGAAGAGATATGAAAGCCATGACTTAAAGTTAAATAAACATTCAAACTAGTTTGCTCTGAGGAATAAATTTAAATCTTGAAATTAATCACACCCTTATGTCTTAAGCCACATTAAAAAAAAATTCACAATTTATGAAATGCATTGATATGGTTGGATAGGTCAGTTGGTGGGCACCGAAAAACAATCTGGCGGTTGCAGGTTGACATACCCCACTTCAGTTTATTTCTTTGTTCAAATATTTGTATTTTAATTGAACAATTTTAGTGGGAAGCATACGTTATGAACATTCGGTGTTTGTGTATCGTAAAAATCTGTCAGTTTTGATTGCTAAACTTTGTCATGGGGATCCATAATTGTCAAACAATGGAGAGCAAATTCCTGTTCCTCTGCTATGTGTTCCTTCTGCTTATTTGCTGATTAAATGTCTATTCAGTTCAATGCAAATACAGGATAGTCACAGAAGTATATGGCCATTTTCAATTGTGAATTATTTTGGGTTCTTACTTGAGTGTTTGTGACAGCCATCCCCTGAGTCACATCGACAGTGGGTGTATCCACTACATCAGGAGGGCTAGAGTCCACACAGAACCCATTAGATGTAGCCTGACTCCACATACCAAGCCGGTTATAGGCACGGACTGTGATGTAGATATCAGTGCCAAGCGGTATCTGGTCTGCTGCTGATAGAAATATCAGAACATCTTCTGACAGCTCAATGCGTGTAGAGAAGAGAATGTCTTCAGCTCCTGCAGTCGTGCCAGCGCGCCATTCGTAGTGGGAGAGGCCCGAGTGAGGGTCATGGAAGCCCCACCAATGAGCTCGCAATTGACGCCTAATGAATCATGCAATACAAGAACACGAAAAACATCATAACAAGAAGTCAGGTATATGTTGGTAATGCTAACATATCTTTATTTACTCCTTTCGATTCCAAATAGCACACTTCGATTTGAGAAGCTACCATAAAAGGGCAGCAGAGTAAGCCAGTACAGAATTAATTATGTTGGTCGTAGGTTGAAATCCAACACTTGTCAAAATGCCTAAAATAAAACCCAAATGAACCACTAACGACCTACTCCAGAATTAAGTACTGATGGCCTTGAAAGGAGACTGCTGACATGGGATTTAGTAAATTTAAATGTACTGGGCTCTGGTAAAGTGGAGATATGTAGATTATCCATCTAGATTATGCATCCGCTAGTATCTTTTCACGCTTATAGCACTCTGACTTTAAATTGGTGGTTGGGGTTAGTATTCTCCACTTTTGAGAGTTTTTGTAGTTTGTGACTCACCTTGACGATTGGTAGCTGATATCACCACCTCCAGGACCACCATCATAGACACGCCCCTGCAATGGGGGAGAGTCATCCACCGTGACCCCATCAGACGTCACTGAGGTACAAAGGTCAGCCACATTACAGGCCGTCACTGTCACGTAGTAGGTCAGACCAGGCACCAGGTTTAGGTTTTCAGCACGGACATCTGACAAGTAATATATGAACACCTTTGTTTAGATGGTTTATCATTATTTCTAGGCTACAAAAATCCAAGTCCATAGGAAATTTATATAGTATACAATCCATTTGATGAAATGTATTGAATAGGATTACATTCAAAGGCTGCGTAAGTGTTTTTACGAGTACCTTGCACGAGGGGTCTAACAGTGCTCTACAAGGGAAATTCTCAAGCGAGTTAAAGGGAAAACAATGCAAATGTGCCATAAATCCCATCCGTAAGGTTGCTCTAATGTTGCATACTCTTTGTGGACCCGTAAACAAAAGAGGTCCATATGGTACAGGCAGGAGCGGTTCTACGGGGGGGGGGGGGGGGGGGGGGGGGCTAGGGGGGCTGTAGCCCCCCCCCCCCATTTTGTCTAGCCTCCCAAATAAATTCGGAAAAAAAAAAAATGCATTAGCAAAAAGGAGGATTGTGTGTACATGCGAACGGTCTCCCCCTAAAGAAGAAATAGCCGTGACAAGGGTGCATTTTATAGTTAATATAGTGTGAATGATTTTAGGATTTTATTGGCGCTCCCCATTGAAAATATGGCATGACCCCCCCCCCCCCCCCCCCCATATTGATTTTCGGAGGCCTAAGTCTCTGGAAAAGTAACCGGTCAACATTTCAGCACGCCTCCTGAAAAAATTCTGGATCCACCGTGCTAGCCCCCCCCCCCAAAAATATTGGTTCTAGAACCGCGCCTAGGTACAGGAGGTGGCAACGCTTTGAGGACTTGCCCACGTCTACACACCCATTTCCCCCATCTGGAAATCAGGTTTAGAGACATTTTTGGGGTTAGGGTTTGTTAAGTACAAACAAAAGAGGGACAATAGGGGTCCACGATTGAAGGTGTTTACACACTTGAGTACATACACAGTTATAATTGGCTACAAAACACCATGGAACAATATACCCCATGAAGAACTTTTTAGAAATCAATCTCATTGAAGAAAACGCTATGGAGATTGAGATTTCAATATCAACAAAAGAAAACAACAGAAGGAAACAAATGTCTTCCCCATAAGTATAATTATGTGTTTTGGCTGCATGTATCTCTGTGCATGTTTATAGTGTAAATCGAGGAAACAAATGTGAAGCATCATCGAGTAATTGAGGATAGGGGTAATATCGAGGACGACCTCGATTGGAAAAGGTGTACAAAACCAATGGGAGCTGTTGCAATGAAGTTGCAATATAAACACACGATCGATGATGAGGAACAATAGAAAATCCTTAATTTACACCATAACCAAACCTGCTGGGTTGGTCACTGTTGATCCCCTTCAACACGGGCGGCAGGTGGCAAAGCTTTGCTTAATTTAGCAAATATTATTTTTCAACTTACCAGTGTCCAAGCCCACATGCTGCTCAGGCACAACATCGCTACACCCTGAACACATCCCAGCTCTCCAGGAATAACCAACAATAGCACAGTGCGGGTCATGAAACCCTTCCCAGAATGCGTTGATCACCGTGCGATCCTTCTGGAAGTCCTGGTCTCTGTGATTGGCCGGGGCATCCGCTGGGTCCCCATCAAGAACGTGGCCAGCCAATGGGGGACTCGCATCAACTGTAAATGCTCCGTAACTCTTCAGGATGATTAGGCCTACAGTATTGATGGCCTAAAAAAGATCAATTTATAAATCACATGACTTCGAACAACTCATTGTGTTCTTGTTTGGTGATCACGAATATACAAATCTATGATTAATGTTATCACTCTGCAAAAATATTAATACAAACGATACAGTTTTACCTTTACAGCTTACCTTCACTGAAATGAAATATGAGTGACCTTCTTGAAGGTGCAAAGGTCGTGAAGGGTCACTGACCCCTATCTCTGTATTCTCTCTTGTAAATGGCATGATGTCTGCATGACCTGGATGTGAACCCACTGCCCACTCATAATATGCTACACTGCTCTCCTTGTCTGAGAACACATTCTTCCAACTGAAATAAATAACAGGAGTAAACTGGTATGAAATAATTACACTAAGCATCCAAATATTAAGTAATAAGCAGATAATTTTGAGATTTAGAATACCCTGTGATACCCTGTGAGATCTAGAATGCCCTGATTATACCCTGAAATTCATTTTGTATTGCCACAAAAAGACGTTAAAGTCTATTGCACATACAGCATGTCATAAAAGTAGGTTAGAGATTAATACTTTTAGAAAGGGATAGACATCTTTGATTGCTGTATTTCAGTTGCGTGGACACAAAAAAACGTGTGCCACTTCTTTGTGTCAAGTTGAGAAGTATGACAAAATGAGAATGCCTTACTCTACCTTGCTGAGATGGAAGTTGTAGACCGGATGAAGCTGCCTCCAATGTCCAGTGTGTGATCAGCACTGATGACAGGAGGCGACATATCAATGGTGACTGAGTCTGACATGGCTTGTGATGACAGATCAACAAAGTCAGTCGCTGATTGGAAAATTAAACGACATCAGTCAAAAGAACCAAATGAAGGTGTGGTGGCAGTCTACGATCCAAGACTTACCTTTAGAGCCACTACATTGGCATATTCCCCTAACCGGCATGTTCCATTCGCTATGGCCGAGTTTGGGCGGTCAGTTGTAGATGCGGGTGTATTGTTCCCGGCTCGAACGATGGGAACACGACCCAAGAACACTGCAATCGGAACCGGATCACACATCACCTATCCGTCAGGGTTTCGCAAGAACAAGAACTTTAAGAGAAGTCTACTTCACTTAAAGTGTGTTCGATAACTTCCCCCAGCTATACTCGCGCCTGGCTCCTCGCGTGATGACGGACATGCGCAGTGGAGCTAAATAAACGAACGGTTTCGGGTAAGGTTTCGAGCAAGAGCTGGAAAGTTGAACTTTGACATGACACAGGCTGCCTCCGTATCAACAACCTAGGTCTACGCCAATTGAAAATACGCAGGGACGCGGTGACAATACGTTGGCAGCCATGTTAAATGCATGGCCTTATGGGATACTTACGCCAAGCTCGAGTAAGCGCGAGTCACGTGAGAGGTAAATCGAACGGTGTTGCGCTTGCACGAGTAAGCGCGGGGGAAGTAATCGAACGAACTCAATATTTGCCTGAAGAGCCACTAAATTTGCAAAGAGTATTACCGCTTTGAAGTGGCTGGCAGTGAGAAATGTGTTTTTAAGGTTCTAATGTCATTAGTAGTGAAGTATATTGATACTATAAACTCCCTGTAAACTCAATGTAATAGTCAAACAAAAACATACAATAGGGAACTACGTTGAAATGAGTAGTTGAAGAATCAAGCATTGAATGGGACTCATAAGTCAATTCCAATGTTAAGGTTTTTTTTTCTGTAGTTTTGATGGCAGATTTCCTGGCAGCCGATAGGACTGTGCGTCCAGGTCTTACCTCAGACGTCAATACATCTTTCAAGTAGCAGGCTGAGAATGCGTTGGGGGATTTCCAGCAAGCAGCTTTGATAATATTTTTTTCAGGGAACACCGTTTTAAAGGCCCAGGTTGTTGCAACCGCTCTTACATAATGTGCACGAATGTCTAATCTGGACTGACTTGGCCAGTCGGTTGCTGCCGATTCTGTCACAATCCAAAGTGTGATTGTGTCTTGAGATGCTGGCCGATGATGCGATGTAGACGTAATAAAGATATATTTCCTCTGACCACTTATAGGTTTTGTTTGGTCAACGTACCATCTCAGAGCTCGCACTGGACACCACAGCTCATCTTATGGGATGGATGAGAGCAATTTTATTTTTGGGACGAATATATCCGGTGGTTGAAAGGGAGATGATTGATTTGTTTGTCAGGAATCCTGAATTAGGAATCAACCGCACACATATGGTTCACACCGTAAATGACAATCTTCTATTGCGAGTGCATGTAGCTGCGGAATCAGGCAGTAGATACAGCTAGCAAAAATACCACCTTTAATAACATTTGTATTAGTGAAGCCTAACCCAATGGTTCATACGGGGCTTTCAAAAGACTATCCAGAACATGAGTATAAGGTCCCAGGCAGCAGAAGTTTACGTACGGGAGGTCTTTTAATAAACATCCTTCACCACAGATGACATTTGGCTGCATTACTCGACGCCGACGAACAATCTGCAAAGTATTTATGGATGGCAGAAAGGGCTGACATACAATTCTTTATTGTGGCTACTGTTACATTTGATTCCAAAAGGTCAACCAAGAATTTCCCAATATCTTTAACATAAGTTTTGGTGGGATTGTCAGAGTGCCGTGTACACCGTTAATAGAAACGACAAGCTGCTGTCACCGTGTTTGCTGGGATTGCTGGGATGATTGAATCATCTTCACAGCGTCAGGCTATATTCTGTGAGCAGCTAGGAGAATGAAGGATAATGATCGCAAACATAAACTAGATGCCTCATCATCCAACTTCTTCAGAACATCCTCACGCTTTCCCCGGGAACCATCCGAGAAGACTCCTTTAACAGGGGTTGCTCCTCCATCAACCGTTAGATAGGTTGTCTTTACCTTATTGTGGAAAGCAGGGACCGACAGAAAGTGCTTAAAGTCTTCTCTTGGAAACAAAAAAAAAGTACGTTGCTTCAATAACTTACGTGCCAGGACTTTAGGAGCTATATCACATATCAGAAGTATGAGGATAAGAATCATGTCTCTCTTTACCAACCGTAATTCTGTCCGACCCAGCAGTAACGGGTGCTTCCATGCGCTTTCCTCTTGGCCCTCAATGACTTGGCATCAGATCAAGAAAAAGTTGACGATGGAATATGCTGATACATGGGGCAGCTGAGGATGTACAACTTAATGCTTGTGAGGGTCATCGTGCATACCATCAGTGCGGATATACTGATCTGGATGCAAACCCTATGTGTGGCTGCGTCGACTTTAGGGGGCGTTGATAGCGAGTGGTCCATGAACAGGCCTCTGTCCCCCGCTCCAGCAATCGAGGGCCGACATGACTCCGAAATTGAAGGGAAATTATTGCAGAAATTCGGCTTGTGGAATCACTTCTCGGTGGCGATGTTTTCTGCAGCGCGGTGATTTATTATCGGATGAATTCTCGACCAACTGATGAAGAATAGCGGTGTCTAGATAGGCGTGATATCTTTTACTTTTCGAGCTCGGAAGATCCGTCCACCATGTGAATCCAGGAACATGGAATGTATGATGATGTCGAGGACGTACCGAAATGGGACGTCCCCTCAGCGTGCGGTCGTGATATTGTACTGCGAGGACTCCCCGCGATGTGGGTACAACTCATCGTTTTACCTGATTTTTTTCTTTTTTTCTTAGACTCTTTTTCTGAGGCCTTGGAGGTTTTTTTTTTTAAGGGAAAAAAAATCCAAATTTCATAACGTTCAAATTCTTCCCTTTTTTCTAATTTCATTTTTCCCGTGTTTTTAAGAAAACTATCAGTCCAAAAACCTCACAGCGTACTATGCATATGTCGTTTGGGAAAAAAAATCGCTGGTTGATGAAATTTGGAGAAACAAAACAAACATATAAGACAATGTCCCCAATTTGTGGAGGTACTTATAAACCCCCTTTCTCAGGTAAGGGGAATGTGCAAATGCAGTGATTGAACAGGTAAGCCGAGTGAAGTAGACTATACCTGATACAAAGTGCAAACCATTTCATAGATTTTAATTTTGATTGGTTGTGACCATGACCGTGTGACAACAGATATTATAACACTGTACCAGGAAGACTTAGATCTTCTAACGCCCGATCTGAGAGAATAGAAATGTAATTGAATAATAACAAACACATGAAAATCAAAGCACTTATGCTAATTTTCTTTTGAATACCACATATTTATATTGACTATCTCACCTCTAACAGTGGCATAGTATGTGTGTCCATTCTGTAATCTCAAGTTGTGTACAATAACGCTGTTAGTGATTCCAACACGAGTGAATTCTATCACATCACTGCCACCTCGCATCGAACCTGCAACATATAGCAATTGTATATAACATTACCCAAAAAAAAAACCCCAAGTGCGACTGCACAATAAGCTCTGACCGTCTTGCATGAAATGATACAATTACACATGTACTGACTTGGTCGTGACTGTCAAATGACAATGATACAATTACAAACTTGGTGGTGATTGTCAATTGAAATAAGAATTTCCCATTTTGTTTAAAGTCACAATGCAAATAATAGTGACCTTCATAATAGTAGTGCGGCATAGGGCAGAATTGTGCATTTTGTGATGAAAGCATGAAACTTGGCATGTGAGGTCTACAGATCAGATATGGAGACAATTCATAACTGACCCTTGGTGACCTTGGTGTCGCCAGAGCTTCAAAAGAATTGAAAATATTTTTACACGGATAAAAACCCAAGATGAAATCGGCTTTTTGAAAAAAATCTAAAAATTTGATTTACAACCACGAAACTCTGGTATGTAGTTTCACATAATTTTATCATCATATCTCCAGCCATAAAACACTTCAATAAAACTTTGCTTATTTTTTCTACCATACAAACTGTGTACTGATGACTGGTAGAAAAGATGTAAATTGCACTCGCAAATCGCAATACAATCTTACCGTTTTCATTCAATTCGTTGAAAAAAAATAAACAAAATAAGATTTAAAGGGAAAACAATGTAAAAAAAAAATAGACTTCTGAAAAGTTTCATCTCTGTTAAACTGGATCATAAAAGTATTTCAATGATCTCTGGACAATCTATAACAAAAGTCAAAAGTTGGCGGCACTAGCATATCTACACAATGACATAATGTAAGGTTTACAAATTCTCAAAAATACAGCAACAAAACGATTGAAAATGTATGTTCCTACCAATGGCATATTCATAGTACTTGACCCCTGAGTGATGACTAGCTAAACCATGTTCCTCAATGTCAGTGAAGGACTCCCACTGTAGGACTAACTCTGAGCTGGAACTCTGTCAAAAATACAAAACATGGAAAGGTAAGGTTCAAAATCAAAGAAAGACCCTCACATCTTCTTCAAAAACCTATTTCAAAACAATGGACAATGTTTTAAAAATACTGATATTGATACCTAACACTTTGTCAAACATGTGATGATAATGTCAGCAGTGAGAACACGTTAGTGAAAAAGTGAGAAAGGTGGATTTTCTGGATACTTCAAAACACGAAAGGGAAACAAAATGATTAAAGAGAAATTACTTGATAGGTTTGATGCTGGTTCCATCCAATCCATACAGAGCCAGGGGTAGGTGGGGTCGTATCGACCACAACGCCATCGCTACAGCTGGACACAGCAGGCAACAGTTCATTCCAAAGTTCATGTTCTAATGTCACTTCATCAGCATGGATGCAAATGCGATAACGCTTGCCATGATGCAGGACCAAATCAGGAACGTTGACAAACTCTTTATCTACAAGATACACAATTGTAACAGAGCTGTCATTTTTTTGCTTCAATGAATAGTCCAATTGCAGCAAAGATAACTTTGCTTTTCCATTCGTTTCCACACCGTTCACTTTAAAAACGAATGTTTTCTTGGGCTTATTTTTTTTCCATGAGTGCACTTTATAAAAATGCACGGTTTCACTGATTTAATTTTCCTACCTGTATTCCCGCAGGCAATCCTTTTCAAGTGATCACAAGGAAACTGCAGACCATCATCCAAGTTTCCAAATGATCCAGTGTCTTCAATGGCTGCCCAGACGTAGGCTCTATGACGTAATGTGGGCCAGACTGCGGATAATGAGGACGTAGACGAGATGTAGTTCTTGTCTGGTTCCGGCCACATTGCATTCTGCTCCATGCTGACTTCATCTGTTTCAAAGTTACACATTTACAGGTTTTTTGTGTTATTTACATTTTGGCCCAATCTACTGTAAGGTGCAATCGGTTGATTTGTGCTATCACTCTATCACACAAAATTACATTTGCACATTGGTCAATGCCCTTAAGAAATCCCATCTTTACTTCTCTTTCTAAAATCAATCCTCCAGAGCCATAAATAAGAAACAGTGATCGACCGACGACACAATCGATGGATGGCACAGATCCATCGAGCGTGCCGAAATTGTTATCAAACCTTGATAACTATTTTGATAAATTAAAACGATGACAGACAACGCACAAGAAAGATTAACATATTAATCGCATCAAACATACTATAAATACAAACCTTATACAACGCATTAATTCAAAATGTAATTAAACAATGATGTAAATTATAACATACACGTTATGTATGTTGATGTCACGTAGCGTGGCGCGGCCCCTAAAGTGCTGCACTATGATTTTTCATCTCTAGTGCCTTGTCAGAGCAAAAGGTTTGAAATATATTGATATGTTATCAGGCTCGTAATATTCCAATTCAAAAATATTGAGTTTACCTATCCCTTACAAAGACATTTTATTTTCGTGCGCTTTTTCAATTTCTTTTTAAAGTGCGCTGTAGGCGAAATGATTTTTGTATAAGATCATGCTTATTTTGTCAGGCAAATGATGAATTTGATACAAGAACAAAGTTTCATGACTTATTTGCTTCTTGGCAAACTTCTACCTACCATATTCTGACAGCCCCTACCCTATTTTTTCATGGGGAAAATGAGAGAAAATACCCAAAGGCATCAATTTCTACCTTTTACCGCACTATGCGAAAAAGCCAATAAAACATTTTTTTTTCTTTTTGCACACCGAATATCTACTTCAGGACAGCAGAAAGCCCCAGGAGAAGTTAACATGTACTTACGATCAGCATCAATGACAGTATGGGGGACAATCAGCTTCACGTTATCACAGTCCACAATCTCAGTGCTAGCGATGGATGACAGACCAGCCTTATTGTAGCCTCTCACTGATAACTGCAGACAGACATCTAGGTCTAAGGATCCACTGTATGATGCTGTAAAGCGAGCCTGTTCAGCAAGAAATGCCAGACTTAAGGTCGGTAGCGAAATATTTTGTGTTAAAGGACCCATGCAATGTAATTTGTTTAATGCAATCCTTGGAAATGGACCTATTTAACCTTATTTTCCATTTTCGTTTGCAATTTTCACCGGTATTTTGGTGCCTTTTGTATGCTAAATGTTTATTTCCATATTAATAAGCAAAAGTGTGCACAAAAACTTCAATGTTACACGTATTTTGCCAAAAAAAGTTTCCAAATGTTTATCTTTTCTTTGGAGATTCGTTCACAATTTGAATAGCAAACCCCTAAGCTGAACAGTCAATTCTTCAAATGACATCAGCACCCCGGCTGTCCGGAAAAGCTTGGAACGTTTGAAATGTTTAAAGAAGTGCATTTTCAATAAACTTAACCAAAAGAGGAAGTCAAATATTTATCATACATTAAGGAAAAGTAGACATTTCCAAAAAAAATATTTCCCGAAGGAAAAAAAAAATCACATTAGGGACCTTTAATGAAATTAATTTTACATTAAGCTCATGAACTATGACTGCATGATTTACTACTGGAAAATGTTAAACTTGGAACAGACTTTTCAAAAAATTATAATTCCAGACTTGAACAAAAATTAATTATCTTTGAGCCATCTTGTCATTAAACAGAGGCTAACTCAAAATCACACCTAATCGCCTATAAACTGGACCCCGCCTTCAGTTGATTAATGTCTTAAGTCCTACAAACAAACAAACAAACAAAGTTCATCTAATTGCTATCAAAATATTTCCATTTTGTGAACATGCACCATGGTCTCCCTTAACAGATTCATCTAGGATGGCTGCATCAGCTATTATAGATATTTTCTTCTTTGTGTTCAGCAAATCTCTGCCAATCCCTTTTACTACAAGAACTTACCACGTCCCCAGTCATAACCAAATCTTGGATCCTTGTCCACTGACTGAGCAAGGCTCCATCGCCACCATCCTCAGCAATGCTCCACTCATAGAAATCCATCAGTTCTCGCGGGTCGTCATGACGGACGTAATCGTGGGCAAAAGGCTGAAAGACTACACTGATATCTGTCCTGCCTTGCGTAATATCAACGTTGCTGACTGTGACCTGACCGACCTCAGGAGGTTGGGATAATACCCAGAATCCATCAGTGACAACGGGTTTGAAGCAAACGCTAACGTGGCAAAACTGAACCTACCAAAAAAATGAAATATTATAACCAAATTTATTCAAAAATTTGCATTTTTTCAAGTAAATCTCACACTTCACATCAATATAGTTTGCCATGCCCAACCATATATGACGTTTAAGCAATCGCACATTGCAATGATGTTTCGCCAAGGACGTAAAGCCTGGGGAATTTCGATAATGTATCCTCCGTCCACTTGAACAGGGGGCGGGTGGGGGTGTTGGTAGGATATAGGCCATGAGATCATCTACCCATCAACCAACCCCCCTCCCAATATCTTTGCGATGAGGCACCCAAAAAAACCCGGAGAACATACGGTACGACAGTTTTAAATGCACCATTTTGATGTACGGGCAGGGGATGTGAGCACACAAATTTGTACAAGATAAGTATTTTTTTCTTGAACAGCGCCCCAAGTGTCATGTGGTGTCAAGCCCCACCCCCCCCCCCTCCTTCGAATGTTCTCACAGGGCAATTTTGGAATTTTGCCTACATGGATTTAAGCCACTTTGTTTCACAATGACATTTTTGGACTCTTACCTTTGGTCTGTAATGACCTCCACCATGCAACCCTAGCCCAGCTCCAACATGTTGGAATGCCATGCCAAGATCTTGATCATCAATCACTGGGATCCATTCCATCGTAGTGTTCTCATCATCTGTGGGAAATAATATAAAAGACACCAGGTAAAAACAGTAGATTGTAGTGGTTCTTTTGCTTAAATAATGAATTATAAATTGCTTTGAACTGCACAACGGTATCAATAATTTGAAGATTCAAATTAATTCCATTGGATCTACATTCTTAAACTCTCCAAGATTCCCTCAAAACATAACAAAGTACATTACCAACACTATCAAATCAAAGCAGTAAGGATAACACGTCTGTGGTAAAACTCAGTAGCAAATAATTTCGGGTTTACCAAGGTATATTTCTATTTCTTGTTCAACTGCCCAGAAGACGCCAGTCACAAATGGTTGCAGCACCTCAGGGATGGTCCAACGAGCTGAAATGTCTGAGGTAGAAGACTGGTATGTGGTGTCATCCTCACAGGGTTGATGGGCAGCAGATGAGTGGTGGGATAATCCTGATGGCACAGTCGCTGCAAGAAGGAGTCAAACAACCATGAGTAAAGGATACTTGCGAGGAATGTTGAGGGATGGGCTAAGGAGATGAGATGAGTTTGGTAAATCAGGTAAGATATGTCATCCTGATTAGGGGGATTAGGTAACAGATCAGTGATGAGATAATCCTAATGGCACAGATATTGCAAGAAGGAGGCAAGAAACTGTGAGTAAAGAGGGATGTTGAGGGATGGTCTAAAGAGCACAGTTGATTGAGGTAGAAGACTGGTAAGTGAGGTCATCCTGACAGAGTGGATAAGCAACAGATGACGAGATAATCCTGATGGCCCAGAAACTGCGTTAAGAAGGTAAGAAACTATGAGTAAAGATGATAGTTGTGAGGGATGTGGGGGATGGGCTAGCACGCTGAGATGTCCGAGTTACAGGACTGGTAGGTGATGTCATCCTGACAGGGTTGATGAATAGATTAGTGATAAATAATCCTAGAGGCAAAGACACTGCAAGAAGGAGGAAAAACTGTGGTTTACAAGATAGTTCAGATGGATATTGAGGGACGGTATAACACGCTGAGATGCATTGTTAAAAATTGGTAGGAGACGTCATTCTGACAGGATTGAACAACAACAAATGAGTAATTTGATAATGGCAAAGACAAAGCAAAAAAGACACAAAAACTGTGAATGACAACATTACTCTGGAGAAGGGTTTAACATACTCAGATAGTTAATCAACATTAGGTACAGAGAAATACATTTAGGAATGAGAAAGTATCAGAGAAAGATGTTATATTAAGCTCAAAATGTCTGAGTACATGTAGGCCAACGTAAGATACTTGAATCCTTTCAGCAAGAATGTTGCACCAAAGAAATACAAACAACGGGTCTTACTTGCATTTTGATCACAGCCGAGTCCATCTTTGATCACAGCTCCCTCCAGAACCTGACCCTCCTGAATGACTTTGACACCGTCTGAGGTAACATTGACACTACCAGCTTCAGAGTTAGCACGGATGGTCACATAATAGGTCTAGCAGTAATACAAAAAATACCTCAATAAATACAGAAAACAGAAACAAATAAAAAGGCATGAGGAAATGTCAGTGGCTCTTGCAAGGTAAATAATAAAAAAAAAAAAAACAACCACCGGAGCCTGAAACCTCAAGTAGTGGTATTTCAGAAAAAAACAACAACACATTTTAATGTTTTTAAAAACAATTGAATTTATGTCCCAAATACCATAAGTGGAATGAGATCTAGTCCATCCAGTCGATAGAAGGTTGCATTGCCGACATCAATGAAACCACCACTGACATCAGAAGCACCTCCTTCTGATCCGATTGCAATCTCATAGTTGATATCAAGATGAGGATGCTCAAAACCAAACCAACGAGCTGAGATGCTTGTGTTGCTCATTTGAACATCAATGTCTTTGGCCACCTGTTATGGGAGACATTTATTTTACTGAGACAATAGGCTGGCAGTCAGTAACAGGAATTCATTTAAGATTCCTTACTTTTTTCTTTTTAAGGTTGATATCATACATAATCAGGGCCCCAAATTCTGGAACTCAATAAATCAAACTCTTACAATTGTCAACAGTAGGCCTTTATTTAAGAAAAAGCTAAAGTCTCTGCTCATGGAAAGTTACAATAACGCTTAATTTTAGTTTTACTTATTATTTGCTGTGAACATATACTTCTTATGATTTCCCATGTAGGTTCTGATTGTACTTGATTTGTTTTGTCTTGTCCTGTTTGTGTTGGTCCCTTGTCTGTGTGTGTGCGTAACTTAAAGTGTACTTCACTGTGTAGTTAAGATAAAGGATTTTTTCTACACATAAAGGACTTCTCCACTTGACAAGCTTGCTTTTTGGAGAAGCCCACCGCTTAATCTTATCCGTTTATCTGAATTATTGTCTAAACCTTTTCCCTTCAAAATGATAAAGTGGAAATAAATATGAATGAATGAATGATATAATTTCAGTAGATGCTATAGCTCCATTTATTGGTTTTAAGTGGTCACTACCAACATACCACACATGTCTATATTACCAAGGACTGCCACAATATTCCTATAAACATTGTTACTAAATTATCAGGTAATGCTTAATTGTCAGTGCATACAAAGGAACAAAGTATTTGAAGTTGCGTTGGAGGTGTTCTCGAGACATTGTAAGAGATAGGTTAGTGATAAAAATGATTTGAACTAATGCACCAATGAGAGAAAAAACTAACAATTTAGTAAAGAATAAAGATAAGTAGCTGTAAATTTGTCATAATTACCCCCAAATCCACATACACTTCTTCCCGAGGGGGTGCAACCTCCAATACAACACCCAAAGATGGTAACTGCACGATGTGTCTATAAACGGATGAGATCCCCACTGTAGCTAACCCAGCACCATTCTGTGCTCTGACTGACACGTAGTACTCATGATCACCATGGATATGCCAGTCCAGGTCAGCCAATGAGAATGCAGCACATGATGCTTGGGACGAACATGGACCGATTGTGTAGGCTTTCTTCTTCTGGAAATCAAGAGTTTCCGTGCCACCTGGGCTACTCCCTAGAGCAAAGCCAAAAAAAAAATATCAAAGATGTTTTCAAATTGTTGTTGCACTCCTGATTTTGAACACAATTCTTTTTAATGAAAATTAAAAAAACTGCAGCAAACTGGTTACTGAAAGGCAAAATGACAGGGCTACAGAAATACAAATTCTTTAAATGTTACATTTAGTACAGATAGCAGTCGTGCAATATTCTGTTAAGATGTGGGAAGGTACGCACAGATCAAAGTCTAGCACGCATGATAGGAATTTTAGGTCAGTTTTTCCATCAGACTTTATTACTATATGATGAACCTGCCACTTAAATTCATTTAAAAAAATACATTTCAGTTACAAATGTTGATACTGTAAATTATATGGCCATAAAACAATGGAAAACAAGCGATTAAGAAAACTAGTACAGTTAACTTAAATCAGTCGCTTAAATTCAATTGACTGTCGAATCACTATTGACAACTATCTCCTCATCATGGACTCCCTGCATGAACAGTAGATGGCGATTTGTGACTACTCTCGAAAGTCCCAGTGGACTGTAAACACCACATGACCAACGAGTACACATGACCAATGTTATTCTGAATACACACAAACGCAATGCATCAGGCGTTGTCAGCAATGTGTTTGAATGTCTCCACGTTGGTCTCCCCCAACTCTCTCTTTTTTACCGTTGAGGGTGGGCTTGTGCACAGAACCCATAGCTATCGACTCAGTTTTTATCCTCCACGTTGATTGAGCATCACCAAAAAAATACTAGTGGGACACTTTGGCCAATAGTCAACATTGACTGAAAACATGGTTACTAAGTATCAGCAATGCACTCATCCTCTACATGGACAGAGACACGCCCAACAAATAAGGGATTATTTGACCAATAATCAACACTAATTCTAATTTGGTTGGATTGACTAGTTTTGATTGACTTACCAATAACCACTTTGTATCTGAGGCTGGTATCCACATCATCTATGATGCCACCATATCTCAATTCAGTAATCAAGTATTCATCCTCCAAATAAACACAGACACGCCCAAAAAAACATAGGCGGGGCACTTACGACCAATAATCAACACTATCTAGGTTTGATTGACTCACCGATGGCAACTTGGTATCTCAGGCTGGTATCCTCATCATCAATGAAGCCATCAACTCCCCATTTAGCAATCAAGTATTCATCCTCCACATGGACAGAGACACGTCCAACAAACATGGGCGAAGTGGTATCCACTACTATTGGACCAATCACCTGCTTGCAAAGAAACAACATTTATTAAACAAATGTATGGATATGCATATTTTCTCCTCTCTTGATTATATACGATTTCCTTAACCTGTTTCTTTCTGTCCCTTGAATAAACCAACAAGTTAATCCTGCCTCTTCTATGCCCGCATACTTCAAACACAATTGGGTTCTGGATCACACTTTCATGCCAAATACACTGCCTGTGACATCCGATCTGAGAGTCGAATCCATGTTAGGCATGCCTAAGTAATTTAACACACATCCTAATTATTATCCCCTTTCAGTCCATTACCCACCTTGGATGTAGATAGCTGAGCCTTGTTGATGGCCTTCAGAACCAGAAAGAACACAGCTCCATGGCTGATATGAGGATGGTACATCACAAAGTGATCATGACCTGATGTTGACATGAAGGTCACCAAGTCAGGGGTCGGGTTTGAGGGGTCACTGCTCAGACCTATCTCATAGTCATAGATGGAGCTCTCTCTATCCTCTCCAATCCATGAGATGGTCACCTGTCATTGATAACATGACATTAATACCATCTGTAGCGGCAAGATGTTAAATTTGTTTTGGTTTTAATCATAGTTTATTTCCAGGTGTTTTCTATATTTGTAATTTGCAATCACTCGTACGCTTGATTGCAAGTACGTTTCTTGCGGTTGCATGTAACTAGAGTCTCTGTACTTTCGTTAGATTGCCCTCTGTTGAGATGGCATATTAATGTGGTAAAGGTGAACTTCTTCATGATTCCGATGATTTGTGAATAATTGACGTGTTTGTGATTCCTATCATTCGTTAAATTTTTTTGACTTGTTTCGTTTTTATCCACCAAATTTACTTGAAATTAGCAAGGTTCCTAGGTCCCCAATGCTGAAGATTCGAATTCCAACACAATCGGTTAGCTATAATGATTCATTTAAGGTAAAAATGTATTGTATTCTGATTCATTTGATAGCACTATTTGCAACTTTCTTAGTAAAATTATCATGTATTTCGGACAAACAACGTACTGATCAATACTGGTGAATGATTTATCATATTTTCCTTTTAATTGTGGCTAAAATTTAGTAGTATAATGTCTGTAATTACAGTGAACTACAATCCCCACCACTATTTTCTCATCACCACCACCAATTATTAATGACCCAAGTAGACATGTTAAGATGAGGATGCGTTCAGACAAGGGACCGAATAAAGCACTTAAAGCACTGTTTACAAGGCTACACCGTCGAAAAGTTACATCTAATAGCATTTGTCGTTTTCAAATGTCTGTCTCAAGACACTCTTTCGTATGGACTATATTTACATAAACCTCATCCACATGGTATGTGAATGTTACATCAGAGAACTTAAACGCCATCTTCATTGTGAACTGTCCTTTAAACATCCAGATATCTGTTAAAGTCCACCTGGAGCCATAGTCTTGGAGCTGCTTAGCACAGTATTTTGTGTAGCATATATTTTATTAGCTTAGTAACACAGGTACGTTACCATCCAAACTCTCACGTAATTAGTATTGCTGGTGAGTGGTTGTTAGCAAACACATTTCTAGGCTTAACTGCTCCATGAGTTTAGGCCCTGAATAGAGCTACGTACGTGTTTGTCCGTTGGGAGGAAGAACTTCTGCTCAATGGGTGAAATCCACAGACAGTTTACGTCTCCCTCTAGTATTGCTGAAGAGTCGTTGCTACCAGCTAGCTCAGGATAAACTGACAAATCATCTATCAAAACAGCTATGGAACTGTGTGTAAGAAAACTCACATGATTATACAAGGCGTTCATGTAAACTTACCAGGTATAAGATTTCATCAACAACACTTTGCAGAGGTACAATGAGAGGGGTAAATGCAGTAAACTGCTTTGCCTAAGGACAATGAATCTTTACAATCTTTACACAGTTTGGAAGATGACATAGTAAAGCTAAGTGTTAAACAGCATGAGTCTTATCGGAATGCTCAACTGCTTCAGTCTCATGCAGTCTCGTCCCTACCTGCAGTCACTGGACGCATTCATTAGCTCCATCTTCCTGCGATGCTCATTGATGAACCACACCCGACCCTCAGCATCCTTGGCCAGGCCAGGCAACATCCGAGCAAAGCTGACAGCAATCTGGGTCAGCTCTGGAGGGCTGGTATCAATCACGACACCGTCAGAGCAGACGGCCTCCGATGGTTCCAGGGCACGGTTATACGCGATGACAGTGATGTAGTACTGACCAGGCGAGGGGGCTGTCCAACTGGCATGAGTGGAAGTTGTCCTCGTCATCTTAAACATGATGGAATCATATTAGTAAAACAGTTTTCTAAAAACCTGAGCCAAAATTTAAAAGTGTTTACTACTGAAAAAGGAGGACTGATTTGTAAAGTTATCAAAAAGCTTTTGATTTACAGATTAATGTTTGGAAGTCACAGCAATGTGAATCACAAATCATTAAAGATATTAAAGATTTGAGTATTGCTGATATCAAGGACAAACCACCAACCCACATACAACTTACATCATTGCTGACACTGCCGATTGATGTATTGCCGGTCCAACAGGAGTCATCAAACAGATACTGATAGAACTTGACCCCACTCTCCTTGTCAAAGAACCCCTCCCAATAAGCCGAGAGGTCACTGCCCTCCTGAAAGTCTACCTCACTGGACCCAGGTATCCCATCATGCACTGCACCAGCTTGAGGAGCAGAGGAATCCACTGTTATCTGTGATTCATCAGTAATAAGGATTTGAGTTCGGTTGGTTATTTGGAATTCATTATAAAATTTATTAGGAATTTCTGATTTTTCTTGAATATACATACCTTGATTGTCCGGGTAGTAACTAGTCTTGCTTGGTTGGTCACCGTCAGGGTGATGTAGTAATCATAGTCATGGGTGCCAATGTGCATTGTTGGGTGGAAACCATAGTCTATTGCGTAACAATCACCAATTGGGACACACATACAGCTGACGGGATCACAATCCTCAGTGTCCTGTGTGGAAAGCAAAAAATAACAGCAAACCTTCCCGCATCAAGCCATAATTTTACCGTTGCAAGAGGAATGAAAGTCTGATGCAAAATACATCATTGTAACATTGGATAACCTTTAAAGTTTTCCGTTCGAGACTTTGTTGTTTTACCGTATTGATTTTCCTGGCCGGCAATGTCTGACTGCCATGTTCCATCTCTGTGCCAGTGTGGTTGTCAAAGAGAAGCCACTTGATGGTTCGTATACCACTGTGAATGTCATATGTCCTGAATTCAACACTGTGGAAGAATGAACGAAACATAGCCCTAAGATGAAAAGACGCCAAGTTTGTTTACACACATGCTTTCCTATGGTAGCTTTTAGGTAGGGTCCCTCATACCCTAAAAAAGTGCGGGCTAAAAAAGTACTTTTTATTTTGCTAGGCATAGGTTTATCAATCACATATCACCCTAGCATCACAAGAAGAATAATAACATAGAGTTCCTACCTCATCTTATCCAGATCCTCTGAATTATGAACGGTTACATTCACCTCCCCGTCCCGTACCAGCCAAAAGTTTTCAATAACAGGCGGGGAAGAATCAGCATGAACCAACACACTGTCCCTCACAAAGTGACCAGCCAAATCCCTGGCCTCCACCCAGAACCGAATGGAATCACCATCCACTAGGGTAAGGTTATACGTTGCTTGTGTGTTTGTGCCTTCACTACTCCAATGGTCTGAGTCGTCGTCACTCACGTTGACTGTGGTCCTGCCACCGCTGTGGTCGATGTCGTGTAGGACGCGGAATTCTGTCACACCAAGGGAGTTAGGGATGGCTGCACGGCTACGCCGCCCAAAGTTCTGATCATAGTCTAGAGGGGAAGTTCAGATAGAAGTAGCGTTACATGAGGAGATAAAAGAAAATTGACGATGGGAAGGATTTATACATGTAAGTACTGGGAAACCTAAACATTGCTCTATCATATGAGCTACTGTGACATATTTTGGCAATTTTGCGGGAATTTCTGTTCAAAAGATATCGGAAGATTAGTAAAACGCCTTGTTGTTTAACTTATAATTGAACTTATGATTACCAACTAGCAACAAAAGAAATTTGCCAAACTCACCTGAATCGACAGAACCAGCAACATAGGACCCAATCGGTTTTAGCAATCCTTGGTTGAGATGATGTACATTAATAAATCGGTTTGTCCAATGAAGCTGTACAGATGTCGACCCTCCAGTGAAGTCTAGATGGGTCATCCACACATAGTTGGTTTCTGCAGTCGCTGAGACAACGCGTAGAGAGAAGTCATCTTGAAGGGTGACATCGTGTAGATCGTCGTCAAAGAACACAAAGCGTCTGCTGTGCCTGACATTGCCCGCATTGTCCACAACGCTCAGGATGAAGGAGTATACACCTGTTCAGATGTGGACGGAAAGAAACAGGTCACCACTGTCCACTTCACCAATACATTATAAAGGTCAAACTGTGTACATGTCTATTTTGTAAATTGGGAACACATCTGTGCATGTGAAACATCCTTTTCTAATTGAGGACGGGAGTCCAATCGAGGACGTCCTCGATTGGAAAACGTGTACAAAATGAACGGGAGCAAGTGTGCGTGTGTCCATGGTTTGATTGTGCGCGAAAAGTGCGATCATGCTCGACTTGTTGTTGTCTACGAAACAGGCGACTTGCCTACAAATTAAATGCGCAAGGGGATACCTCGCTGTATTATATTAATTTATAATAGTGAAGAAACAAGCACAAGTTTGTGTCCCACAACCATTCATATCCGTTTGATAGTGAAAATCATGACCTCTTAATGGTAACATGTCTGACTACTCAACAATCTCAAGTAGGGTGCAAAACAACTAACCTGGTGATGAAGGTTTAGCTCCATTTCTAGTGAACATCTTCAGAAGAAAGCAAATGCGAAAATCTCTGGGGTTATGTGGCCACCCTATTCTGCACAAACCTTCAATGATTTTTTTTGTTTTCTTCCAAATATATGATATCCGGAAGTTATAATTTTACGGGGTATTTGATACCAGTCCTGTTTTTAATTTGAGCAAGGTTTTGGTCATTAAATCACGTAGGTAAACCTCAGGATATAATTGCAAATGATCCTATAATAATGGAATAAGTAACAAAACATTGTTTAATTGAGGCTTGATGAAAAAACAGCTCTTCCAAGTTTTACTTTCCTCGGTTGTAAAATACAAGTAAAGGGAACATTTTGCACTACAAGACATACATTTTGTTCTAAAAAAATGAAAATTACTAAACTGAGCTTCATTTTAGGTTACATTTGAGGGTTTCAAAAACACCTGATCATATTATTCTGACTTACCAACATGGGGCAAAGTGATGTTCTGACCTGAGAAGGTCACTCCACTATAAACGGGTGGAATGTCAAACATTTCTGTCATCTCATTGCCATGGCTACCAGATAGCTTTCGCACTTCAAGTTCGTATTCCTTGATGCCTGCAAGATTGTCTGCCCAGCCTTGCCAGGTGACATTTATCTCTGCCTGTGGAGAAAAAAAAGTATAGTACAAAGGTAAAAACTAATCAAGACTATTTTATACGGATCATTCTAAAACAATGGGATCCACTTTTTTCCTGGATGTGACATCAATGAGTTTATAATTCGCAGGCCTAATTAATGCAGTCATTCTCATTCTGTGCAGTCAGAAATTAAATTCGCTGCAGTCAGTTATTATGAATAGCAAACTACCTTCCCAATAAATAAAAGAAAATTGAATTCATTCTTATTACTTGAAGGGTAAATTACAAAGTACCAAGTTAACAGAGACTGGAAAAGATCACACATTGTACCCTATATTTATAGAATGACCCAACTATATATCAGTGTAAATCCATTTGGGGGTTCATTATTCACCCTTTAAAGCAACGATATAATGTTTACAATAACCTTTGTGATCAAAATTTACTAGGCTTGCTTGGGCGTCATAGTGTGCATGAGCGAAGACATTGAAGCTGGATTTGGCCCGCTATGATCTGCTGAAAACCCGACGTGGCTGGCGTTCTACCGAAGTTGAGCTATAAGCCTTAGGTCAGCTGAGTGTCCCAATTCAACCACGTCTTTGTTCAAAGGTGCTAGTTAAATGTCATTAACTTTTATAGCCGTTGTACAATTGTTGGGCCACGCTAACCTGTGATGTAACATCATTCCCTGCATATAGCATAGTGGTTCCACATCCACTGCCAACGTCTACACAGTGGTAGGGGTCAACAAAGTCAAAGGTGAAAGTTGAAGAGTTGGAGGTTGTCCTGTCGTTGTAGTATCGTGTGATAATATTGCTTGAATGATCCCTGTCGTGGAGTTTCATGTACCCACCACTTGTAGAATATACATCACACGTCAGTCTGTAATATCATACAAATGTAGGATAAACACATGCACCAAGAAGAAATTTCAGTAAAACAATCAGAAGAAAATCAGTTGATTGAGACTGATTATCATGTTGCAGTGTTATTATTTGAACAGAGTAATTCCTATCAATAAAGAAACAAAGAAAGGTTTGAGGGAGTAATAATTCAGAGGTTTCATTTATACAACAATTTTGTCTTAAATATCTTTATTTTGCTCCAAATTAATTGGCACAAACAAAAAGTTGTTATCATCAAGTAAAATGTTTGCCAGTATGATCATACTATCTTATGGGCTTACACATCTCCTGTAGCTGGTGTCCAGGTGTTGTAGTTCAAGTTGAATGTAAATTGACAGGATACTGCGACTGTTGCCGGACTGTTTTGATTGAAAGAATTTCCAGTCGTAGATGTCGTACAATCCTGCAAGCCTATTGAATATGTCACAATGTGGTTGCCTAGTGCATGGAAAAATTAAAAAAATGTAAGGCAATCACAATGTAGGTTTTTTTAGGTTCAGATTAAGTAAAGGTAAATATTTATCGTTTATATCAAATTGACATAAACAATTCATGCATCACTTATAGTGGCCTTGTTAATATTTTCATACAGGTATGTTAGGTTCAGTGACTAAACCGAAAAGGGGAATGGGGGCAGTGGAGTAAGGAACAAATACCTTTGTCCGCTAGAATGTAGCTATGAGCTTTGTATTTTCGACACTATGACTGTGTGTCCCATCCAACAAATCGGCTTTTTTTGGGGGGGGGGGGTGGCACGCCCAAAATAGATTTTTAAATTGCATTAACAATTTTAGGATAATATTAGTTAGGAGCTTTTCCAATGTGACATCGAACGAAAAACGTTGCCCTCGACAAATTGTCAATTAATTAATTAATTGTTACTTTTGAATTAGGAGTGGGACGCCCCTAATTCGAATCTGAGGTCAGCGGGACCGAGTTTCGCGTGCACGTGTGTCTTAAGGTACCTTAACATCTCATATTCAAAATAACGTACTGTACGTAGGCTATGAATTGTAAAGGGCCTGTCACATTATATGCTTTCTCATAGGAGACCTTACGGCGACCAAAAATATTTCATAAATTAAACAATCGCAGCGAGGACGCAAGAAAATGACAACTTTCTGTCTCAAAGAAGCTCAAGCTACGCTCATACTGTGCTCTTAATTCCCGCGCTTACGATGCGCTCAACTCGCTCTCTATGCGCCCCTGTCAAACTCAATTACTCGATCTAGTTGCTGCCGCTGCGCTGCCACTGCGCTCACACTACGCTCTGCTCGCTGTTGATACGTCCTAGTAGCTCGCGTTGCGCTCTTTATTCGCCCAAAATACGCTCATGTGACGTCACTTGCGCTGTATAAATACCACGACAAAACGGGCAATACACAGTCAAGTTTCAAAGTTCATCGCCGTCGAGTTACTTTTGAGCATCTTCAAAGACCTTGGCGCTCATCGGAGACCATTAAGACCCTCTGGCACCCCTCTGGCGACCTATGTAGTTGTCGCTGCGATCTAGTAGTTGTTTTTGCGTCCCAGCCATAAGGACGCAGTGAGAGAGCATATAAGATCGCAGACAGTGTGACAGGGCCTTAAAGAAAAGTTAAGTTACTTATAGCCAGTCTAGTGCTGATGCAGGTTAGACATTCTGATAAACTGTAGTATAGTGCGTGCGTGACTGGGCGTGCCTTAGCGCTAAGTGCGTGCATGTACGTACGCGAGTGGATAACAAAGCCACCTGGGTTGAGTGCAACGCATGCTGTAGTGCATTTGTATGCGAGTAGGTAGATTGCGTGAGGGGGTAATCAAGTGATCGCGGGGGCAGTTGAGTTGTGAACGGCGTACAGTGAGGTAGTTACTGCTTGCACTCGGTGTTTTGTGTAATGCTGACGCGCGCTGTGGGTCCAAGCCGTAACTGTATTTAAGTTACGTTGTGTAATGCTGACGCACAGCCGTACAAGTGAATGTACTGTAAAATGCTGACGCTAGTTTTGCATGGAATAAGCGTATACAAATGCAACGCTGAACGGGTGGTTTGCTTGCGTATTGAACATTACTTACATTGGCATGTATTGTTTACAATAGTGAGCATTATTTACATTGTGGTGCATTACTTACACTGTCGCGTATTGCTGACTTAGTAGCGCATTGGTTACATTGTTGTGCATTGCTTACAACGTGGTGGATTGCTTATATTGTTATGCATTGCCGATGCTGTGCGCGTTGCTGCTGCTAGAGCAGTTGGTTGTCTCCCAGATATATTTAAAGAACTCAGATGATAAAACAAAGACACCAATTAATTGCAATTACTGTACATTTATTGATTATTGGTGAATAAAGGACAATAGCTTGAGGTTACCGACAATTCTGTCTCAGGTGTCTTTGTTACAGGTTTAATGTGTACTTAACAGAGGGCAATTAACAATCATCACAATCGTCGGTATATTTCCACTAAAACGGACCTGCACCCTTAGCCTTGAAATCGCTGTGAGTGGTCTCTCACAGAGATTTTGGAATTTGGAATTTCATCTCCACTTTAATTGGTGTCAGACTTGGTCGTAACCGACTAAGGAGGATTTTCTATTGTTCCTCTTCACTTTTCCTCTTTTTATACTCGATTTTTTTTTGCAACAGCTCTCAATGGTTTTGTACACGTTTTCTAATCGAGGTCCTTCAACGTATAGCTAGACTTTGGAAAACGGGTTTTTCCATCCTCTGAGAGGAAAAGACATAAAAGTAGCAGAGATTCTGATACAACTTAGGATCAGTGATGCAGCGAGGCAGCCTGGCGTGCAGTAGGTCTACCATGATCGCACAGCATGTTCCAGAACGGCCGCGATCATAGCGTATGGATCAGTCCATGTAGTTTGGTTCCCAGACCAAAAGATTTTGACTATTCCTGTTGAATCTTAGGTCAGGTAGCCTCCGGTAATACATTGAAAATTTCCGAAGTTTAAGAATTTGTTTCGTCGACAATCGGATAGCGCCCGACTATTATCGAGTATAATATAGGTTTAATTAACTGCTAATTGTTATTATATTTTTAAATGAGTTGATAATTAACATTCATTGCTTTCATTTAGAAAACTTGAAATTTAACGACGATTTCGTGCTTCAAATATACTCAGATCATATGGGCGAAATTGTTGCTGCGTCCGACAATTTTGAATTTGACGACCGTTACCGAGACTTTCCAAAACTCAGCCTTCATTCGGCTCCGCCTGCTATTTGGCTGCGTAATTTTGAAGATTCCAGAGAGCAGCCCAACGGTAGTTTTATAGTCCACATTTTCCAAATATGGGATTTTTTTTTCTATGGTCGAATTAGGCCAAGCTTCCATGTAATCCTCACCCCTACTATACACCACAAGCCTGTAGACTCCCATTGGCCAGACCCTAGCCACTCCGGAGTAAGGAGTGTTGAAAGACAGAAGCCAAGATGGCGCCCAATGCCTTTGTTCGGTAATTGGAGATCTTAGTGGCCAGACCTAAGTGCCGCCGATCCCCTTGTGTCAACCCCTCGTGCCGCCTGGAGCCCAGACAGGTTGTAAACAATTCCTGGCAATGTGAATGACCAATATCTTGTGCATGTAGAGTCTTGCCAGGGTGATTGACCTATAAACACATGTGGTGATAAAATTCTACACGTGGTTCCACGGTTTGATTTTTTTTTTGATAAGCTGCTCCGAGGGGTTTACAGATATATAAATCTGTATTATCATAACTGTATGATATTACGAAGCAAGTGATTTATTATTAAAAGCTAAAAGTGATAAAGCGAAATCGGAAACGAAGCCGAGCTTTGAAAAAGGGCCATCAATGTCGTCATGGGATTTTTTTTAGCCACGGAGGCTGCCCGACCTACATTAAGACGTGAGCGTCGGGAATAATTGTCGGTCTGGGAACCAGACTACGGTCCAGGCTAATACCAAACGCGTGATAGAAAAATTAACATACATAAATGCATGGCTATGTCACTAGATATGAATATTCATAACGTTTCGCTGAAAACCTGCTGAACTGGAGCGCGCTGTGTAAAACCCCTTGTTAAAACTGTATAAAGACCTGAAAATGCAAGCCAATTTATTTGTTACAGGGCGTTATTTTCCTTTAAAAGTCGTTCGGAAAATATATTTGAAATTGTGAAAAAAAAAGTATATACCAACTTTAACTTACGATTCACAGAAGCTGTCACTCTGGCACCTACAACACCAAGCCCAATGCTTTGAATGTATGGATGTCCACCACTACTAGGGTCTGGTAGTCCTGTAGGCTGGTAAGAACTGATCCAGTTGGTTGTGATGTTTGTAAAGTTGTGTACGTTGGTGAAGACAGTGTCTGTACTACCCTGAACTGTGGGTGATTCCAGAGTTGTTGTCCCGATAGCCAAAGTGGCACGGTGCTCCAATAGGTCTGGTGCTTGACTAATGCCCACTGCAAGAAAAGAGATATTTGAATCACTTGACTATGGCTAATATAATATATGTATATAAAAAGTTCATCATTCGAATTCACCGTTTCTAAAATTTGAATGCGTCCATCATCATCGATTCAGTGCACTTCCAATGTTTAATTTCGTCTTTTGTCAGACACTTTCAAACTCAGTCAAAGCAAATTCAAGCGATGAGCACACATTTTCTTCCCAGAGTATTCGATTTCGTCTCGTCTAGCAGTCGCAGATCCAGAGGGGGGATTTTGGGGGTCAACAGCCCCCTGCTCTGTCAAGAAAAAAAATCATACACATTCCTAAATAATGTCGAACCCCCCCCCCCCCCCTGCTGTGACACCCCCAAAAAAGTATACAGGTATAATGTCTGCCTGTTCAAAATACGGTACACCATTCTGTAATCTAGTGTTAATAATCGTCGAATTTGATCACCGCCCCCTATTGAAATATGGCCCCAGCCCACCCCCCCACGCCCACCCCCCCTCCCCTTCCCAGTTTTTGATTTTACGGAGGCCAAGTGTCCGGAGAAAAAAAAAACGTGTGTACATTTTCAGATTATTTTGCTGATGAAACCCCCCCCCCCTGCGAAAATTCCTGGATCCGCCCCTGTCTAGGCCAAACCTGATATGACCATTTAGAAATCAAATCCGTCTAATTGATTTATATATGACGAATTTGATCTCTAAATACTGCCATTCGACAACAGCTTAGGCACATTTGATCTGTAATTACGAATATTCTCGACATAGTGACTAGGAGGGTGACCAAACTTTAAAATTGAATGGTAAATAGCTAAAGTGGTTTTGGTAAAAGTGTGTGGATTTTTTTTGTGGACGAAATTGAATGTTTTAGTTGGTGGATTTGAATGAAAAATCTTCTAAAATAGCCGGGAAAACCAATATGGGATCCGTTCACAAGTACCCCCTCGGCGGTAAGAAAGGCAGGTTGGCAAGACTGGCAACGAACTCATTGCAGACGATGCCTGATGCTCACAGGAAGACCTATGCCTTTGTGCACATTCAGAACAGAATAAATTTTGTCTGCTTTGCGCTAAATGAACACAAACGAGTATGCACAAGCGCTGTGTCGCATTGCAAGTGGCAAAAACGCGCCCTCGCTTTCTGTCCATATAATGACAGCGAGGTGTTCTTCACTTTCTGCTGCATAGTTTACATTTTTGGTCTTTTGTATGACAGTTACATATTTCCTTGGTTCATATATCAAAAAATGACTTCAAGACTGTCCTTAAAAGGAAATTGAAGACGATTGATTTCTCACTCACATGTTCTGCAGTCAGTTCCTGAGAAGCCACTGCTGCATGTGCACTGGGCATTTGTGCAGGATCCTGGGTAGCAGGCATTGCTGTCACTCCTCCATGAACATTGCTCTAACAAACATTTATCAAAACATAGAAGCCATTGACCATAATTAACTTTTAATCTCATCTAAGGTACTTGGGATTCATATATTGGCCCATAATGGTAACTTAAAAGAGGACTGTGTCCTCTATATACTCCAGAATATACTCCTGTGTATACATACTCCAAAACAAAGGGATATTATAAACAATCCATGTTCAAGGAACATTTAACTTACATAAGTGGGACACCCTGCACATATGGAACCTGGACAGCAGGCAAACATTGGTACTTTTTTAATTTGTCATTGTAGTACCATTAAGAATGACTTCAAATGATTTTTGTTTTGTTTTTCTTGTTATTCATAGTCACTCTTTGAGGATAACTGCTTTAAGAAGTGCATAAGAATTATAACACTAATTTGATGCCAGACCCAACAGAAAAAGGCTAAAAGCTGCATTTCATATAGTGGCACCGTTAGACTTGGGTTCAAGTGTCCCTTTGTGACGATTGGGTGGGTAGTTATGCAAATGTATGCGTCAAATCCGTCAAAACAAGTTTACTTTATTCTATAGATGTCATCTCTATAATGCCTATGGTGCGACATGTCTGAAAGTAAAGGAGCACGGTATATGTACATTTCTATAGCCAACACAGTAAATATCTCCTCCACTTCACTCACATAATGGTCGATCGACATACATATACTTACTTATGCATTGTCTCATGTCGTCACTCTTCTTATAGGCTGATCCAAGCGCTGAGCCATAGTCACCATCACATCGGTCACATTTCTGGTTTGAAGATGTACTGCAGAACACTTCAAGGCAATTCGCAATGGCTGTGCACCCTATGAACCCCCCAAAAGAGTTGTATTTATGAATCAATTAGTCATCAAGATTCCCATGATCACGATCGACACCGATGTTATCTGACTAATTGATTGACCTAGTAAAATAGTTTCCCAGCTACTACTTTTATGGGAATTCTCCCATTTATAATTTTGACTCAAATCTTTGAAAAATGTGCTCAATCACAACGCCATTTAATTGTCCATTCCCTAATAATGAATTCGAAATCACAAATTACTATGGTAAAGTGCAGTGATTCACGTTAGTGTAACAAAGTATTGCTCTTGGTGACTTACGATCGCATCGTGGAGAGTAAAACCCTCGGTTACAGTTGCTGCAGTAGTTAGGACTTGTGCAATCCCCTCCATTGGGACACCAATCAGTATAGCCAAAGCAAATGGCTTAAACACAAGAAATGACACAAATACAATGAATGCATGATTCTTCCAAGTGAAACTCAATTGATAGTTATTTGAGGTATTTTAATTAGCAAATCTGAATTTTCTCAAACATTTTGTAAAAGACAAAAAGTCAACTAACGTAGTGTGCAGCCAGTTGATGTACTTCCAGCCCATCCTGAGCAGCACCGATAGCAGGTTATTTGCCTGTATGTAAGGAATATAATTTATCATGAAAATATTTTTCTCGTTATTGGAATTCATATTATAGCATAGTAGTAAGTATAACATTGTATTCATGCTGAGGTGTTTTGAGTGACAGATTATCAGTATAGGTTATGATAAACTTTCCCTGTAATTATGTGTACTGTGTTCACGATTTTCAAAAAAGCTTCACCAGGCTGCCAGCCATAGAAATATCACCCTGCTTGTCGCGAGAGAAGACGTTTTTGATTTTAATTTATTTTGATTTGATTCCAAACATCATTCTTACAATAATGATACATCAGAATTAAAAGAAAGTTCATCAATCATGTGATGATTGGTGGAGGCTAGCAGAAAGTCGAAGCTTGTACTTGGTCAGGCCCCGGTGATATTATCTCCCCTCCTCAAAAGTGGATGGACCAACCTAAACAGTAATGTCAAAGCATGCCGGTGTGCATCAGCGAGGGGTTCATATCAAGAAATTGGATTGAGGGGCCAAAAGAACATCAGTTCTTGAGACAGACGATATGGCCCACAGACTTTTATAAAACCTTCCAAACATATAACAATTGTTGTGCACTTTATCGAGTAAACTAGCTTGTTCCCACTGTTGTTTTGGAATGAGAAAATCTTCGATAAAAATGGAACAGCACTTTCTGTTGACATAGTAAATACATCTTTTGCACGCTGCCGGCTAGACCCGCTGATTGCCTTGCTGAATACATGTACTTCTTTCATGTTAGATTCTAGCTTTTTGTCACTATTTCCCATCAGGCCACAAAAAAAATACATCATTACATTGATGTTCAATTTGAAATGATTAAGTTTTAAGATCGCAAGCTATTTATTAGCTAACATAAAAATCGATTGTTTCACACCCTGTAGAGCCACAGACCACCGTGAACTCTTTAATCTTAGGGTACCACTTTTAAGTTCTGATCCCCCTCCCCCCGCCAAAAAAAAAAAAAAAAAACCAGAGAGGAGTATTTCTTGACAATACGTGCTTACAAGATTCTGCCAAGCGAATATTGGTTTTTTTTTTAAAGAGTTTCCCCCTTTTCAATATGAGTAAACGGGAAAATGGAAAGAAAACAAACAGCGAATATAGCCGGTAAAATGAAACGTCTGATTAAACAAAACCACTGAAATGGGACAGTTCTTATACTTTAGTTGATTCTTATATGTTGATTCTTATATGTGATCCTCCATTTTATAAAAAAATGATTCAGGAAATTGATAAATATGACAATTACTAATACTGTCTCCGTAACTTTTTTTATGCAAGCACAATATTATGGTTAGGGTACTACCATCAACCAACAGATAAACAAATACGGGAATTATAAATTAGTAGTGGTTTCTTTTAACAAAAAGAAGGCAAAAAGAAGGCGGGTCCATCAAGTTCGTGAGATTTTTGACATGCAATAATTTGTTTTATAATAATTATTTCATACAATAATTTGTTTATGTAAACTGCCTGTGATGTACAGCTCACGTGTTTCATTTTTGTTAGTTTAAAATAAAAGATGAAACTTCCAATTGTGAAACATTTCACAGAATGAACATGATTTTTTATGTGGGTCATAGCTTGTTTTAAATGTATTTTTTGCTAGTTTCCTTTGCCTTTTGTGTTAATATAATCCAATTTAAATTACACAGCTACTCAAGTACTGTTGAAACCCCCGCCCATTCTAGTCTGAGTATCAGCCGTTCTCCACCAAGCCCATCTCCGGCAGAACGTCTGATTTATGTTAGCATGCGTAACGTCATTTCATGCCGGAATGAGGACTAAGACTGTGATTAGTCAATTTCGATGCCACATTTGTGTAATAAAACAACCTGTACACCAATGCTAGGCCAACTCATCGTGGGCGTGATGTTTACGCACGCGTGGAGCTCGCATTATGCGCGCATGGAAGGCACACGCTGATTGGTCAGTTTCTCGAAGTGACACGCAGTCGAGTAAACCTGTTTATAGCTATTTTTAAGATTTATTCTCTAAACTGAAGGTTTTTTTTTTACGATTCATGCATAAATGAAAGGTGTTCATGCTATAAAAAGAATTTTCATACATAGGTCATTTCATATTCAGCCTCTGGTCACCTTACGAGAGGTCATGACCTTTATAAAACAATAGCTCACATATGGATATTAATACGATTTTTATAATTGCAAATGTCACTTTTTTCATGACCCAAGTCTCAAGCTTGAATCTTGGTGTCATGATCAGAATTTTCAGATGTGGGGACATCACAGTTGACGTATAGATACCCCTGGATAGGTCAATGAACTTTGTATTCTTAGTTGCCGTTATTTATCATATTTATTCGCCAGAACGCCATTTTTGTGTGATTCAAGTGCAAAAGTGCCAAAGAATGGTATTGCACCTATTACTTTACAGTCATGTTATGAATTTAGACCCCAGAAAACAATTTTGAGGTGACCTCCGACCTCTTTTCTCCTTGTTTTATTGGCAGACGCAATATGATGGGATTGGAATAGAAATCTGTGGGTCTGTTTTGTAATGGACAATATACATATGTCAAGCAATATTCACTCTTGTGTACTTATTACACACTGCTGTATCCAGTTGTACTTGGATAGCCACGTTTTTAACCATTTTACCGAAAACCAATGGTTTCTGTAAGAGAGTGATGCTTGTCCGATGTGTCACTTATACTAATTAACGTTTTCGTCTGCTGATAAATAACGGTAATCAGAGTACACAAAGTTCATTGACCTCTCAAAGGTCATAAGAGGTCAAATATGAAATATCTACATATCTGAAAATTCACCCATGGCAAGAATACCCAAAATTTAGATATGGGTAATAAAAAAGTGGTGTTTTGAATAGTTTATCCTCTTATTATCTATAAATAGGATACACAAAGTTCATTGACCCCTTGAAAGTCATCAGAGGTCAGATATGAGATTCCCTACATATGAAATTCTTTTCATAGCATGAGCCACTTAAACATTATGACTTGGTCTTGAAAAAAATGGGGTTTTAAAGGGTATATCGTATAAATAACTATTAATAGAATTAATGCATTTAATACAAAGGTCATTGACCTCTGGAAGGTCATCAAAGGTCAATTGCGATTTTTTTGCACTTGGTCGTTATTTACATTATATGAAGACTATACATAGACTAAGGTCATAGGAAAGTGATGTTTTCAAGAACAATAGGTATAAATAGAGTATTCAAAGGTCACCAGGGGTCAGATGTGAAATGCTTCAATGTCTGATTTTTTTTTGTAATGGCATGAAGACCTCACATGCCAAGTTTCATGCTTTTATTACAAAATGCACAGCTGTCCCTATGCCGCACCACTACTTAACTTATTTGAACGTTGTTTTTTTTAAATGTAGTGAGACTCTTCAACCATACATGGTGAAAAATATCTTTAAAGAAATCGCAAGAAAAGTGTTATTATGCTAATCTGAATACAAGCCACCAACATCACTGTTGTCCACGTTTAAGTCTAGTGCAGTGTTTGTCTTTAAATCAAGCTCCGGAGCTCAGTCAAGCGGTTGGAAAAAGCCGTCCCTTGACAAACAGGTTTTGCACATGAAATTTCTAAACTTCCATATCTCAGAGACAAAATATACATTTGCAATCAATTTTTTCGTCATTTTCGATTCTTTTTTAATATCATTAAATTGAATTTTTGAAATATGCTCAACAAGTAGGTAACTAATGCTGTCAAATGTGGGCTTCCTTCTCTTTGCTCAACCTGTATTTGAAAATATTGTTTCAAATAATTAAATCATTCTTTCTTTTTTTTTGGTTGTTGTTGCTCTATCCATTCTGTTGTACGGCTTCTGTGATGTGTACATGACCGATTGTACTTAATCATGTTAAGGTTGCATGCAATACGGCCGATTGAGGGCGCTGTAACAGATGCTACATCTCTGTTATTTTAGATCAATACCACAATCATACACGAATGATCAAATTTAGTATGATATAATAAAATGGAACAATTAAATATTCAATTACACGAGCATGTTTACAATTTCACGTCAATCCTAAACTTGTTGCGAGGTTCACAAAGAGTTGTTGAATTTGAGATCTCTATTAACCAAAACTGAGTATTAACATTAAACAAAACTGAGTATTAACATTAAAGAAAACTGAGTATCAACTTTAAACAAAACTGAGTATTAACTTTAATTTTTTTTCTTTTGTTTTCTTTCTTTGGAGGTGTAGATCAGTACCGGTATGTAGTTTTCATTACCATTTTCTTTGTATCACAGGCGTTCCATATTATGTACGATCAGTTGTGTTATTTTGTGGTACAAGGCGCTTCACAGACAAGGTCACTTGAAAGGTCAATTAATGCATGTTTTGCATTACACCACATTTGTTACCTTCAGCATCGTTGACAATAAACAACAGCATGCACTCCTAGTGCACTATGCTGGCCAGAAAGTCATGGACATTTTCGAGACACTTGCTGGAACTGAGTCTGATTACAAGACAGCAAAAGAACAACTTGACAAGTACTTCACACCACTGCGACGAAACGTCAAATAGGAGAGATTCGTCAGTGTTCAAGCAACACGTCCCTGACAAAAACAGTGATTTCTATGGAACAATTTTGCTTTCGTTTAAACAAAACATACATTTCGGAAATCCATTAGGAGAAGGAAAAAAAAAAACATTTGAAGAGCTCAGAGTATGCAACTTTAAACACTTACGACGGCCTTCGAGTGACTATTTGTCCAAAGAGTTTGATGTTTGTTAGCCTTTGTTTTCAGGAGGGTCAGTTATGAAATTCATTTTGCTTAGTTGCACAACCTTGAAGCATTATTTCGTTAAGCTCCCAACGGTTATACGGGAAAGTAATATTTTTAAGAATAGTGCGCCATGGTTTCATCAATTACGACATCAGTTTACCGAAGACACAAGAGACAACTGCTAAATGGCCATATCTGAAGGTCTAGAGGCATATGTCTTTCATAATTTATCACCACATGCGGATGACATAGCTCTGCAAGCTGACCAGATCAGAGAGGCCCAGGAGCTACTGGGCAGATTGGGGTTGGAAAGTGAGAAAGTAGGTCTGCACCTCAATGCCAAAAAAAAAGAACATGATGCATTGGGGACTCATGGCGGTACGTCTCTCAAGCTCGTTGATGATATAAAGTACCTTGGTGCCAGAATGCAGAGCACTGAAAAGGACATCAAGGTCCGGAAAGCGCTGGCTTGGAAAGCTCTACTTGATCTGAAGAAAATCTGGACTTCGAGCCTACCAAAGAAGCTGAAGTTGTGGTACTTCCAAGCAGCTATCGAAACGATTCTCCTCTATGGTAGTGAGACGTGGATCCTCACTGCAGCCCAGGCCAAATCACTCAATGGGTGTTACACCAGGATACTCAGGATTGCACAGAACGTCAACTGGAAGGCCCATATGACGAACACCGAGCTCTACGGCAACCTGCCTAAGATCTCAGAAAAGGTCGAGTCTAAACGTGCTGGGCACTGCTACAGACACCAAGAGCTGCCAGCAAGTCGGGGATCTTATGGGAGCCAATTAAAGCATGGGAAACCAAGCAGAGGGAGGCCAATCAAGACAATAGTGAGGTTGATGATGGATGATGCAGGGGTTGAGACAACGGACGAGCTCGCTAGCTGCATGAACAGTCGTGATGTGTGGGGTGTGCGTCATCGCGATTGTCTCAAGCATCCACTTGGGTCGATGAGTGAGTGAGATATAGGCACCCATGTTTCAGACTCGCTGGGTTCAATCTGACCAGTGACTTTTTGTGGAGTGTAGGCTTGTGAAGAGATCCGGACAGTATTATTGTATACGATTATCCCGTAGCGCCGATGGAACTCTTTCTGATGAAACAAAAAACTCGAGGAATGGACGGGAAATGCATGAGAACTGTGGTCAGTATGAATTGGGAGAGCAGGTAATTTTTAAATCGTCTGAAAATAATGGCAATATGCTTACCTGTATCTGGTACAGCGACTCCAGCCCAAAAATCCACACGACGTTGTGTAGCGCTGAGAGCACGTGTATCCACATACACTTCCCCTTGTATAGGGATCAACAGAATAGTCAAATTGTATCATACCCTTTTTTACTGTATATACAACTTTGCCAGAAAGCATTGATTAAATGAACTCAATATGATGAGGGGGAGATCACAAAATCATAAGCGATCACAAAACTTTAAATAAATGTATTTGAAAAGAATACCTCAGCTTTGCGTGCAAGAAAATAAAATACACAGCAAATGAATGCACGCGGTTTATTCCTAGGTATTCCTACATATAATCCTATTACAGTTCTTATTGCTTTTCTGATCAACTTGTTTTGCTTTAATGCAACTGTCTTTATTCTTACAAATTCTTTTGCAAGTTGGACAGACGCCACTTTGTATTAACGGTTTGAAACTTGACGCATTCACGGTATTCGTCAAGCATGGCTGACTTCGTCCTTGTTATTGTTTTTCAAGCCATTTACATTTTTTTCACGACATCGGAATTTTAACAACATTTTCCTGATATTTGAGATTATATCACCGCCCATTGAGTGGACGATATTATTGATAAAGATCGCACATTTAACCACAGCTGATGTGCAAGTAATGTTGACAATAACTAAAAGTGACACATTATATTTCATGTTCATAAAATATAAATAAGAGTTTGTTTCATGGTCTAGTTTTATCAAGAGAGAGAGAAAAAAAAGGTTTCTTCGCACTGCACTAAGGATAAAAAGGAAGACTTACTGTGAGAGTGGCAAATTGGCAGCCACGATGATGATGATAATACAGCCGAAGGAAATCATGGTTATCTCCAGCCAGGCGGGAAATAAAAATCGACTCGCTCTGAAAAAAATAACATAGAATACCGTTCAAGGTTCATTTCATGTTCAAGGCTAATTTATTTCCATTGGGCTGACCTGAAAGTCTCTTGACCGTAATGAGGTTTTTTTGTCATAAAAACTTTACCCGGATCCACTTCAACCCACAAACAAAAGCTCACGTAATTTCATGAGGAAATCATCATTTTCAAATGGTTGTCACGATAACATTATTATACAACGCCTGATTAATTCCCTATCATGTGATTGGCTGATCGTTGCACCGTTGCTCGGTCACACTATCGGTGGTTCTGTCCAATCAGATGACTACAGGATTTATTCAAGCGTTGTTTTAAAGCACACAATGAAATAAGAATAACTCCACTCGGTGACAGATGTCAGGTTCCAATCCATTCGGCTATATAATCTCCTTCGTACAACATAAGCTACAAACAAAGAACACGACAGAAATCGTCTCAAGAAATGTCGAAAACAGTGTCTTTTTGTCAGCCCAGTAAAGCTTTATATCTCAACTTCTACTCAATGTATGCATTTACTTCTTTTGCTCAAATACATAAGTATGTATTCCTCTTTATAAAAAAATGGTTGTTTTAAAGTTCCATGCAAGACCGGTTGACGATGGTCGATTATGGCGATGGTCGGTCTTGAAAACGAATAGTTAAGTCAAGACGTGCTTGGATCGCTGGCCCCCACTGCGTTTAATGGGTGAGCTCATTTTTTGCATTGGTATTTCAACACCTTCAACAGCTCGTAATGGTTGCGTTTTCTTTGCATGATAGTTCATAGGAAGACATTGATAAGAAAAAGAGGCGAGAAGTCATATTGGAGTAAATTCAATGGGCTGGGGGCAAAATGTCCCTACCCCCCTCTCAAACTGATAAAATGAAAATATGTTGAGAAATACATGACGTTTTGGGGAAAAAATGTTTTGCCCCCCTCTAGAAAAAATCCGAGGGGCCAGGCGCAAGTAAGATGGGGGAAGTAATCGAACGGAATCACAGTATATGTACTAAGGTATAGGATACACTAAGTGTGCCGAATACGTAGAGACACCTCTGGGTACTTGATTTGCCATCTCAAAACATCTGTCAAGCAGTCTGTGCGAACTTTCACGTGCTATCTCTGACATAACAATGACGTTGAGAATGCCTGTGTCCCCGAATACACTTGTCAGTGTTAATGCACCCACTCTGGTGAGCAATCAAGATGATAAGGACATGTTCCATGAGTGTCTTCGGAAAACCCTCTCCCGAGGTCCAAACACAGACTGCATGCTTTGGAAGAGGTGGCTACAATACTAATGGAGAACTTCTCTTACAGCTCTGCAATGATTTTTTTTCTGGCTGTTACCGACGCGTTTTTTTCCCCAGGTAACCTGAGCATCATGACTATAGCTGGAAGCACCCAAGATCTAGGCACTGGCACATCCTGTACTATATCCTGATCCGTCGAAACACTTCTTTCGGGTCAAAATCACGAGACCAAGGTGTGGACCTTCTTAATGTTCAACTGATCACTATTTAGTGTGGTGCCAGCTGAAGGATGAAAGTGTTAGGGCAGCACTGGAGGATCATTTTTTTTCCCAGGCCTACATACCTCACAATGTGACCAGCCTACAGGAACCTTTCCAGTGACCTGGACCAGAACAGTGAAATTTTATCTTTTTAAAAGATACTTATTATTGATTCTTTGCCCAGATATTTTAGACTTTAAGACAAACATTCGTGATTAGCAATTACCATCTTTGAGATAATTTAAGGACCGTTTTTGCAAGCTCACTTTTCCAATTTGCCAGATAGTTTTTAGCTAGTTATTTCTTTGTTTGTGTTCCTTCCTCCATACTGACATGTACATTCACGTACATAAACTGTAATTGTGTATGTCATGTTTGCGATTGTTTTTCAGATCGAATAATCCATGTACGATAAGCAAGATTGTTTCTGCTCTAACTTTAATTAGTCTACACTTCCTGACGACTCGGGGATGGAGGGGGACTGGTCACTTACGTCCCTAATAAAAAAAAACAGTGCATTGGATGCTTGTTATACTGTTTGTTTTTCAAGCTATTAAATGTGGGGGATATATTATCCCATAATTATATTCTATTCCCATTGTTGAAATGGAGGCTGCACTGACAAGCTACGGGTTCGACAACGTGCTTTGTAAATAGCTCAACAACGTAGTTGAACGTACGACGTTACGGAGCCATGCACTCTTTCAAAAACGTTTAAACACAAATATTGAAATGTGTATTCTTGTGGAGACATTTTTTGGTTCTCATGTAGTAAAGTTTTCGAGTTTGAAAGTACAGTTTCAAAATGTTCCTATTTTAACCTAAATTTGGACTAAATATCTCTTTTCTACTTTTCTAAAACTCTTCCATTTGCGATGGATCAATCCACTTTGGAAATTCCTGGTTTTGAGTAAAAAACTGGTGTCCCTCATCTGCCTATGGATGAACCCCTGTATATAAAGTCCAATAGGCACCAATGTTAAATGCCCATACTTCAATTTTCTTAAAAACAATACTAGAAAATCTTTCTCTTTTCGAGAAAACCTCATCCAATGAAGACGTCCCCTATTTTCCCAAAGCGGAAAAGTAGCAATCTTAAAAAACGATCCATCCACAACATGACAAAAAAAAAATGCCAGTTTCGAGTCTAATTGCATCAAAAATGCTCAGAAATGGAAGCCCAAATTCTGGGCCAGAGGTTCTTTGCCACATCTCTTCAATTCCCAAATGTTATGGCTCTCAGATCTTTCTAATATAGAATATTTTGAGGTTATAACTTTTATTCATTAGCTCGGCGGATGCGTTTAGGCCTATTTACAGGAGTACAGCCCTATGACTCTTGAAAATTTTCCATGTAAGTCGCCATAATTGTTGATGCGTTTGTTAGTTCATTATTTCTTTACTCGTACACACGTTACGAGCATGCGCATTTCTAATTATAAACGATGGTCACGGCATTAGCACGGCGTCTGAAACGGGCCTTATACTCATTGGGCAGGGACGCTATAATTTCCGTCAATCAATCATAAAAGCAAATCGTCCAAATTTCGTCACCTAACTGGTGTTATTCTAGATACGAGATTACTCGCTACATACGGTATATAGGAAACGTGCCCTATAAGCTGGCAGCGAGTGACGTTCATGTTGCATAATGTAGAAACAATAAGTATTTCACTCCTCCAAACTCCCCGATCCTAATCCTTATACATCAGCATTTGATTTAGAGTAAACATCTCCGAAATTTATATCACTGAATTGCCTCATAAAACGCTGTACATTGTATAGAGGGAGATTGTAAGGTTTGTTTACATGCTACATGTTATACGTAGGATCATCAACCCCTGAGGTTCGTTGACGCGTCTTCGGGGCAAGTAATTCGCCGATTATAATATATTCTACCATGGTAAAACTATAGTTTTGAAATGTGCCGGGATATCGAGATCGTTTCAATTTCCATTTAACCCTGTGGGAAAACGCTCATTGGATCTCATCGTCAGTTTACTCGTACCTTTTTAGAAAAAAAACCCAATCAATTATTTACGTTACTAGCTTTAATGTTAATTTATTGTTAAGCATCTTTAGGCCGGAGACTTCAAATTCAATGTGAATCATGGACAAGTGCTCATGTACTGCAGGTACGCCACAACTGTGTGTGGGAAAAGCCATTCAGACCTTAATGTTCGTGAACGTAATATAATTTAATAAATAAACCAGTATGTTTACAAAAGACTGGTTACTGTGCTGCCCCTTAGCAACCAGGCCAGAGTTCAGGCCCTGTTGCGTCGGCAGAATTAAATTGGAAATTCCCGGTTTTCCCACTGCAGGGTAGTTATTGCTTTGCAGAGCATTAGATTTTTCGGCT